TATGGGCTGACTAACGTAGCGTTGCATGTAAGCAGAAAGGTAGAAACGAGCGTGGTGAGAGGTTAATCAAGCATGCACTGCTGGGTTGTAGTATTAAGAAGAATGGGCGCCTTAGTGCGAGGTTTGATGGGTAGATGATGTGAGGGTTATTATGCCATGACTGGGGGCCTTGGGCCGTGGTGACCGGCGGCTCGCCAAACGAGTGTCGACACTCGACATGGAGTTGGGGGAGAGGAAAGGGCCGGAAGGGAGGGAGGGGAGGCGGCAGCGAATTGGAGGCGAAGGGCAAAAAGAGAAGACGAGATGACGAGATGAAGTCGTTTGCTTTTTTTGCCCGAGCTTCTTTCTGGAGGTCCTTGGGTTGTTTTGTTTGATCTGGCTTTATTTCGCGCCGGCAGGGAGATGCTTTCTTGTTGCGTCGGGAATGACCCAGCAATTGCGACCGTGTGAACAGAGATTTTGTCGTACTGGGCTTACATGACATTGGCATTCACAATGTAGGAATTATTGGATACAACCAGTATCGTGTCCGAAAGTGAGTAGGTAGCCATGGCCTTCGATTCATTGGCACCTTTGCGCTGTCGAGGAGGTACGTACGCCTAGGCCTTCATGACGATGTGCCTTGCCGAGATACCTTAGGTAAGGTAGCTGACTATTTGGTGGTTTGGGCTCTTCCTTAAGGATTTATCCTGTAATTAGTGACCTCTTCTTTTTTTCCGTCCAGCCGGGGTATGCCGACGACAAATCTTGCGACCTATGCGTTGTCTCTAATCATTAATAAATCAACGAACTATCCGCTCATCCAATTCAAACCCCTACCGACGGTGAATTGAGATACTCTCATCATAAGGGTCGCCTTATATCGCGATGCGACATCTCATCTTATTCTCACCTTGCCGGCACAAGATTCCAGAGTAACAAGCCTTGAAGACATAGGTAAACTTGCCCAAAAGCCCCCGAGGCCTCAGGGCGACGAGGTCTTCCTCTGGTCGAGCAAGCAAGCCACGGGCCGGTCCAATTAACCGCGGGAATGACCGTCATCTCACGGTCTCGTAGCGCATCAGAACATCTCGCTGTGACTGTCATTCGACGAATGGAAGGCCTAGAATAATAAATAGGGCGCGCGCGCACATGGTATGGAAGCTTCGGCCACCCGCCCCGTCTGCTCCTTCTTTCCGCCTTCCTTGACTGTTCCAGTCTGCCCAATATATCGTCCTCCATCCCCTTCGACAAACTAAGCTAGGTTCTTGACCTGCAGCTGCTGCATTCCTCGTCCAGAACAGACTGGGCCGCCGTGCCTTCATATAATATCTAGCTGAGGTACCGCGCTATATGAGGAACCTTGGGTAAGATCTGGACCTAAAAACGGTACGTATCGTGTCTGAGATGCTTCACGCCGGCCGGAATCACATTGCGGGGCTTTCGCTGGCCAATGTGCGCCCCTGGCTTGTCGAACCCGACACGCGCTGATCCAGAGTGCGTGAGTATCTGTCCAGGGAATTTGGATCTTGTTTCAAACCACCGGGGACTTGGCCGTCGTGTTCCACCAAGGGTCCCGGGAATGCTTCATCGCTTGGGGTCTTTTCCATGGCTTTTCTCACGCTCAGTCTACCCTTTTAGCCCTTTCCTCAGTCTCCTGTCACGAGTGTCTGCATAGGCCCCCTTGTCAATGAGGTCCAATCCTCGGAGAATCACGACAATTTTCTAATTACCTCCGTCTTCCCGCCCGTCTTCCCGTTCGGCGCCCCTCGCTGATTGGGTGGTGTTTCCAGTCCATGCATGAAGAGAAATTGGGCGACTATTGGCACTCCGATTACCTCACCAACTTTTGCTTTACCACGGAAGCCAACCTACTCCATCGTCAGCGTCCGTGCGGCCTGGTGATGTGCACCAACGAGAGTGCTAGGCCAAAGGTCATCTGAGATTTACGACGCGTTAAAATGGAGGAGGACTCGAAACTGAACCGCAGCCGCCATCTCCTTTCAACAGTAGCGTAGCCTTTCTGATCTAATTTTGAACTCCCATCTCTCTTTCTAATTAAAAGCCGTTACACCAGTCAAGCAAGGTCCCATTGCCGCGTACTAGCGTTGACAAGGACACGGGGGTTTACCCGCAATTGGGCCGTGATATGGTTTTCATTTCTCGACAGTCTCGATGGGCTCACTGGTTTGATCCTATCGTCTTCATGAAAACCACTTCAAGACAACCGGATTGCTGATGCCAAGCTTTCACGCAACAGTACGTGTTTGTTCAATTTCACATGTAGGAGTACTATACCCAGACCAAGGTGACGGTACACGCCAAGGACGAATTACTTTGTGGCCGCTCGCAGGTATGAATGCCTTGAAAGGTTTGGCGCCGATCTTTGCAGGCCGTTTACTGCGGTCCAAATACCGTTTGCTCAGAACACCCCGCGATTGGGCTTCACAGTCAAGCCAAGGGACTCATGGATCATCCCTTTTGCGACGCGAACTCAAGTCCTCAGCTCCGGCGGGGCATCAAATGCATCGTAGAAGAATGACTATGATTCATCAGCCACGCCGTGAGCAGGATTGGCTCTCCGTCGTATCGGAGAGCTGGAGAACCGGCCACTGCGACGCATGCAGTACGTCTCTGTGCTGTATATCTCGTCAAACACGAACTCTCGGCACTGAATCTCCTCTGCTGGTCGTTTGACGTTGTCTGAGAACACCAAGAATTGGAATAAATAAGGTTGTGAAGACCCTGGCAGACTTCATCCATAAACTTCATCATGCCCATACTATCAGGTGCTTGAAGGGTCCAACTCAAACGTTCATCTGAGGTATTGGTCATCTGGGGAGGAAAGGCAGAGTCTATTGGAAGTTTTCTTCCTGCGCAATGCCTTGACGAGAACCAGCAGTGAGTCGTCTGCTGGGTCCAAGAAGACCCCCGCTCTCGCATCGATTTCCTCTTGTTAAAAACGTTACACTGTAAGTTGAATGAATCGCTCTTTTTACCCTCCAAAACATCTCTACGAAAGAAAAGCTTACAGCTTGAAGATATGCCGTCGAACTTGGTATCTCCCTGCTGCTGTTGTCTGGCAATGTCGGACAAAATATGGCATGCATGTTTGTTTGTCCTTTAAACAACAATCAATCTCCCTTAAACACAATGCAACTTGCCTTTGACGAGCACTCGATCCCTGCGTCGGGCAGCCGCGGGAGCGAGATTTTGAACCGATTGGGCGCGCCACAGTCCCGGTTCAAGATCGAAAAGCCGTGTACCAGATCTCCCAGTCAGTAAATGATTTTTTACGGAATACGACATGAATATCGCCCTTCCATGTTTCGTGCAGGCGGTCTTCTATCGATGGAGTAAGAGACGGCTATGGTGTCATTTTGATTACCTTACAAACCCTCGTATTCAAATCATTCTGGGTGTTTGACAATGGTCACTAAACGCTCTTCTTCTGCGGAAAAGCTCATCCGTTTGCCTAGGAGGCTTGGTTTTTCTATCCATGCCGTCTATTTGCTGGCACTCTATGGTGGCGATGCCGAGGATTCGAATGGCATCTCACAATACAAGATGGACCCAGAGACTTTCGCATAAAGACCGCCATTTCTCCTCGATGAACCAAAACGCTTTATGAGCCTGCTAGAATACATGGTATCAGACGTTTCTTCTTCCCTGGTGGCGTCAAGAGCCCGGATACATCCATGATGGCAACCTTTTTTGTTGGTAAACATACGAGGAGCAGGCATAGACCGGTGAACAAGTTGTTTGCGATAATTTGGTTTTCCTCATCGTTAGCATCGAAGCCACGACCACATGCCTATTAGGGCCAAAGGTTCGAGCTCTGTTACTAGAAAATGAAACGAATTGATGGAGCCCTCTTTGAATCAGATTGAAAACATTCTTTCATATGAGTACCCCTACATACGAGCCGCACTTCTTGTCAACAGCCTCCCAAGTATCACTTGCCCTTGTCCGGTAGATTGCCGGGTCAGGTGAGTGTACCCAACGAAGTTGCATATGATTTGGATGTCACTGCTACACAAAGGCACTGTCCTGCACTATGCAGACCAGTGAACAGAACTGGGCTCAGACTTCGGGGCGAATATCTCGGCTTCGAAACAGCACATCGTGTTGTCGTGGTGTTCTTGCAACGAGACATGTTCCGGTCACCTAACACATGACGGGATCTTTGTCAGCCCGGCCCTAGGCAGCCTCAAACATTCGGAAATTACACGATTAATCGGTGTCCAAGCGCCGGAGGCCGAAGACGCATGTGGACACCCGACCCCGGGCTCAAATCGGTAGGCGGCCCCACGTGATGTCGGAGCTCTTACCCGGTCTTCGTTCCTTCCTGGTGCAACGGCTGACGCTTCGGGCCTGGGCACACTAACAATTTAGGTTGTGGCTGAGGCTAAGTATGGGGTCATCGAAAGTGGAGCCGGTTGGAGCACTGGACCTCTGACAGCCAGAACCTTTCTGGAAGTAGCACCCCTGCCCAGGAAATCCCATTGCCAATTGAACAGCTCGACCATCGTGGAGTCGAGAATCTTCCACCTCACCCTTATTCACCCCGACCTTCACATTCATCTCCCCCTTCTACCTCCCACCCCTCAGACCATCAATTGGTTGGCTCGTCCACTTCGCCAACTTCCCCCCCTCCTGATTCAACTTCCTGGATACGATTATTGTTGCCGATCAGGGTCACAATGTTCTAAGCCAGCATCAAAGTCCATCCTCCCATCGGTTACTCGCTGCTCTAAGGTTTCTCACGCTTCAGTCTTCTTTCATCGGGAGTCTGATTCTACTGGTCTTGTCCCATTGCCGTATATATCGTCAGTTGTGAGTACTCCTGTTTTTGTTCCCCCCCAACCTCCTTCCTTCAATGGACGCGCCTGCCGTAAATACGTCTTCAGCACCACAGCTAATTGTCGCTACCCCTTGCAGATATACCGATCCCCAACTGTCCCCATCACACCATCGAACCCTACCCTCAACAACGACGATTCATGCCATCTCGCCTCGAAATGGCCTCCACCGACTCCACTGTTGCCAACGGCGCCGAGACCTCGGCTGCTCAGCGACTTCTCCAAACCCATGCCGACCTGCACCCGACTGTCGAGGACGTCCCCGACGAGGATCTCCCCGTGAAGTCTGGCGACGCTCCTTCTTGGGCCGAGCCCAGCTCAAGCAGAGCTGCGAGCAAGCAAAAGGAAGCCTCGGCTTATGGCAAGAAGATCGATACTCACTCCCATGAGCTTTTCCCCGAGCTCGGAACGTCCAAAGGCAAGGGTCCTGGCCCCAACGTCACCCCCATCTGGGGAGCCAAGAGCAACGCCTCTACACCCGCCAACGGTGTTTCCCGCTCCTCGACTCCCGCCTCGGGAGCTGCTACTCCCAAGAATGGTCCGCCCTCTATGTCAATTCCTGGTCGCAACGTCGAGACGGTCGTGCTGGAGCCCCAATTCATCCTCCCGCGCAACCAGCTCAAGCGCCCCATCCCGGACATCATGAAGGACATCAACCGCAAATCGCGCGCTAACATCACCTTGTCTAACGGTACCAACGGAAGATTGAAGTTTGATGCCACGGGCCCTCAGGATGTTGCGCAGCAGGCTCTGAAGGACCTTGTCCAGCAAATTGGCACCAAGGTAGGTGGCCAACACTTTCTCCACGCAACGCTGGCGCTGACAATCTATTTTCCAGACCACCATCAAGGTCCCGATCCCCCAATCTGCCCGTGCTCACATCATTGGAAAGGGTGGTTCGGTCATCAAGGCTATTCAGGAGAAGTCCGGTGCCCGAGTTCAACTCCCTAAGGCGGAGGAGGGCAGTGCTCCTATCGACGAGGATGACGACTCCACTATTGACGTTCTCGTTGAGGGTAACGCTTTGTCCGCTGCCTCTGCTCGTAACGAGATCCTGAAGATTGCTGGCGAGCGTACCGCCAACGTCAATACTAAACTGCGTGGCATCCCGGCTGAGTTCTACCCCTTCATTGCGGGCCCCGGAAACAGCCACGTCGGTCGCTACGAGAACAATGGCGTTCAGGTCCGCGTTCCTGCCCATCAGATCTGGGCTCCCCGTGGTCGCAACCTCGCCGCGAACGAGGGTGAGCGCCCTGTTTTCGTTCCTGCCGCCGACAACCACATTCAGCTTGCCGGTGACCGTGCTGCTGTCCAGGCTGCGCGCGCTGAGATTGAGCGTCGCGTCCAGGAGCTCCAGAACCAGCTGGCAATCGACCAGTTCAGTCTGCAGAAGGGTCGCCACCAGTTCATCGCTGGCCGCCGCGGCGAGACCCTAGACGACTTTTTTAACCAGACTGGCTGCACCATTCTTTTGCCGACCGACGAGGATGATGACTCTGTCACAGTCATTGGTCCTGCAGCTCAGCTCACTAAGGGTGTCGAGACAGCCATGGACAGAGCCATGAACATGCAGTTCTCGACTTTCGACATCGGCAGATTCCACAAGAACGCCCCCGGAGGTGTCAACACGCATGCTCGTAACGTCACCCGTTACCTGCGACACCGCGATCTGTTTGACGACATCGAGAGTGCTCACAACACTCACATCAACACCCCGTTCACCTCCGCAGGTGCCTCACCCTATGAGCTGTACGCGCGTGATGGCAAAAGCGTTCTCCAGGCTCAGTCGGCCATTGAGAAGCTTGTCCATGCCATTCCTCCTGCAAGGATTGCCCCGATTCCTGTTGATCCATTCTACCACAATTACCTGGTGAAGGATGTCAGTCCTCGTATGAGAAACAGCCACGGCGTTCACGTCATCCTCCCTGAGGCTGGCGAGCCCGATGGTCCTGTTCTTTTGGTCTTCGAGGGATCCTCTGCCCCCGAGCCCAAGCCTGAGATCAAGACCGGTCGTCCCTCTCAGGAAGAGATCCAGGCCTTCCAGAAGGGCCTGGAGGAGGCTCGCAACCAGATTTTGGATATCATCAACAAGCAGGAGCAGATTGCCTCTGCTTCTGTTGACGTGCCTCAAAAGTGAGTTGTTTAGTGACCAGTCGCACGAATGCCTAATGCTGATTCTATTCTACAGGTTCCACGAGCGCCTCCGTCGCTTCATTAAGAAAGAGCAGGCCAACCGAGCCAATGACCAGATCCCCATCCGTGTTTCTTCGGTTGGCACCGTCGTCAACCTGCGTGGTCCTGCTTCCGCTGTCAAGAACCTTGAGGCCAAGGTCGTTGCCTTTGTCGAGCAAGAGAAGGAGGACGAGAAGGAACGTGGTTTTACCCTGTCTTTTGACTTCCCCCAGAAGTACGCCAACCACCTGATCGGCAAGGGCGGCTCCAACATTAAGGAGCTCCGTGACCGCTTCGATGTCGAGATTCAGGTCCAGGATGGTCAGGTCGAGCTGAAAGGCCCCAAGGCCAAGGCCGAGGCCGCCAAGGCGCACATCAGCTCTCTGGGCCGCACTCTGGCCGATGAGGTCACCCACGTCCTCAAGGTCGACCCGAAGTTCCACCGTGAGCTCATTGGCGCAGGAGGCAGCGTTACAAACCGCCTTCAGAGCAAGTATAAGGTCTTGATATTCTTCCCGCGATCCGGCAAAAGCGCGAAGGATGAAGAGAACGCCGATGCCAGCAGCGATGCTGGCAAGCCTAAGCGTCACCAGGAGCCCGATGAGGTTATTGTCCGTGGTCCCAAGAAGGGAGCGGATGAGGCCCGCGACGAGATCCTGTCTCTCCTTCAGTACCTCAAGGACACTTCCTTCACTGCGACTGTGTCCGTCCAGCAGAAGCAGGTTCCGTCCATCATTGGACAGGGTGGTGCTGCCTTGGAGGAGCTTCGCATATCAACTGGTGCCAAGATTGATATTCCCAGTGCCCGCGACGCCGAGACCGTGGAGATTCTAATCAAGGGCACCAAGCCTCAGGTTGCTGCTGCCAAGAAGGCTCTTGAGGAGAAGAGAGATGTTTTCAATGACACCGTTGTGAAGACTATTGAGGTGGATAAGAAGCACCACAAGTCTCTCATCGGTTCTGGAGGTAAGATCACTTACGTCGCTTAAACCTTACTTTTTATAGCTTATACTAATACCGCCCAGGTGCCAATCTCCGTGAACTGGTTGTCAATGCTGGTGGATCTGATGACCGCCGCGAGCTTGCACGCACCATTCAGTTCCCCAAGCAGGAGGCTGATGGCAATACCATCAAGGTTGAGGGTCGCTCTGACATTGTCAACAAAATTGTTGCACGGATCGAGGAGATCGTTGCAGAGAAGGAGAGTCAGGTCACTGAGATTCTCGAAGTTCCTATTGAGAAGCACAGAACGCTGATCGGCCGTGGTGGAGACGCTAAGCGACAGCTTGAGTCCCAGCTCACTGTCTCCATTGACATCCCCCGCCAGGGTGATGGCAAGACTGGTGTCAAAATCACCGGTCGTCCCGAGAATGTTGAGAAGGCCAAGGAACACATCGCCTCGCTCGTCAAGGAGCAGGAGGGAGAGACCCTCCAGGTGCCGCGCAGCCTTCACCACTCCATTTCCAACAACGGCCAGTTCTTCCGCCAGCTTCGCAACAACCACCAAGTTTCTGTCGACCATGCTGGCCAGAGCCTACCCCCTAAGCCCAGCGCTGCCGCCAGCCGCAGCAACGGTGGTGCTTTGCCCTTGATCACTGATGACGAGGATGCCACCGCTGACGCCCACTCCTGGAAGGTTGTGGACAGCGCTGCTGGCGAGGACGGTGAGATTGCCTGGGTCCTTCGTGGCTCTCCTGAGAACCTTGAGAAGGCCAAGGCTGCAATCGCTTCTGCTATTGAGCAGGCGAAGAAGAACACCCACACAGGTTACCTGGTCCTGCCCGATCCCAGGACCTACCGCTACGTCATCGGCCAGGGTGGCAGCAAGGTCAACTCCATCCGCAAGCAGAGCGGTTGCAAGATCAACGTTCCCCGCAACGATGCTAAGGAGGATGCGATTGAGGTTATTGGAAACGCCGACGGCGTTGAGAAGGCCAAGGACCTGATCCTGGAAGCTGTGAGAGAGGGACTTAGCTCCCGTGCGCCCCGGGACTAGAAGTCTGGACGTGAATCTACAACGACAGCTCCAGAGGTGGGATCTCAGCAACACTTCAGAGATCAATTGAGAGCTCTTGCTGCTGATTGGTTTGGCGATTCCGCAGAAGCAGAGCCTCTTGAGTGGTAGAGGAGAAGAAAAAAGAAATCAAGGCGTGGATGGCACGTTGGGACACATGTCACTTGGTTCTAATGCGTATGCGCAAAAGGAAATGTACCTATGCGTGAACACAATGATACATACACACAACCAACAACGGAATAAACTCTGGATCAAACGTTATCTAACGCTTCTCGATATGCCATGCACATTGAAATCTGTGAATGAAAGCAGCACTCTGCTCCTTTAGCTTCTTATTTGACAAGAGCGAGGGAACCTGATGAAACGACTGTGACTCCTTTGCCTGAGCCAACTTTGCTACGGGCTGTGAATCACCCAATAACCAGTCCAAAGCGGAGAGAATAATGCAGAGGTTTCGCAGTAGTAATTGGGTAGTAGTGTACAGATACATTCAGATAGATCGTTCGATAGGTTAATAGGACAATGACCAATTCGTTCCTTTCTATTCCCTTCCCTCCCCTCCCCTGAGCTCCGCTTACTTCTCATTACCAAATCCATTCCCAAACTGGTATTTAACCAACCGGGGGTTGCTGTGAATCAGTACTTCCAAGCACCCCCATTTCAGTTGCCAAAGGCCTTGTCCATCTGCTTCTTGTACTTGTCCTTGATTGCTCTTCTATTGACCTTTTGCGTCGCAGTGACGAGACCCTGTTGAAAACAAGCTCATTAGATACTGCTTGATGCGGTAGAGAGAGGGGTTTGAAAAACTTACGCTGTCGGGTGTCCACTCCTCCTCGCAGAGAACTACGCCGCCGACAATCTCGAGACCAGAGAGTCCGGCCTTGCGGCCGTTGGAGACGAGATCTTTAAGAACGGTGTCGACGACCTTGCTATCGGTGTGCATGCTATGCTCATCAACCCCGAGCTTCTTCGCCTCTTCAGCGAGGACCTTTTCGTTGGGAGCCACGACGGCTATGGCGCGGGAGTGCTCGCCGTCGCCATACACCATGATGTTCGCGACAAAGGGGCTGCCGCGGTACACGGATTCCATCTTCTCGAGCGCAATGTACTCTCCACCCTGCATCTTGACAAGGTTCTTGACGCGGTCAATGACCTTGACGTGGCCGACCTTGTCGAACTCGCCAATATCACCCGTCTTAAACCAGCCGTCCTCAGTGATGGCCTTGGCCGTCTCCTCCGGGTTCTCGTAGTACTCTTTCAGCACGGCGGGACCCTTTACCCAGATTTCACCCTGGGGCGGGTTGGCGTCGGCATAGTACTTAAGATCGGGGATAGAGACGAGCTTGAGGTCAACAGCGGCGGGGATAGAACCAATGGCATCGGAAGTATACTCCAGGGGATCACCGAGGGCACCATTGGCGGCCGTCTCGGTCAGCCCGTAACCTGTCAACATAGGCGCTAGAGTCATGGACAGGAAGTGCTTCGTCCCATCCGAGATACCGCTCGCGCCGTTCATAATGAAGCGAAGGCGGCCACCTGTCAACTCGCGCACCTTCTTGAAGACGACATTATCAAAGATTGTAGCACCAGGGAGACCGTACTTGACCATGAAGGTCTTGTAGTTGAAGGCTCCCCAGAAAAGGGCCTTGACCAGAGGACCAGAGCTGTTGACCTTGGCAATGACACCCTTCTTCACCGTCTCCCAAATTTGCGGCACACCAACCAGGGCCGTCGGCCGGAACTCGCGCATGTCACCAGCACAGTTCTTGACCGAGGTGTCGGAAAGCGTCCTCGGGTTGCCATAACCAAGGGTACCACCCACGAACAAGACGAGGTTTTCCAGGACAAGTTCAAAGATGTGCGCCAATGGCAAGTATGCCAGGACGTATTCTTTGTTACTGACACATTCTTCGACGCAGGTCCAGAGACCAGTAACTGTGCGCAACTTAGCATCTGCAGCATATTGGGCTCACGGAAGATGGACTTACTCGCTGCTATAGTTCCAGCGTGAGTCATGGGCACACCTTTCGGCGGACCAGTGGAACCAGACGTGTACATAATGCAGAACAAGTCCTCAGGTTTTGCCTCGACGGTCTCAACGGGGTTCTCCTCGCCCAACGAGCGCACCTCCTCGATACTGACAAGCTTGATGTCTGGGTTCGCCTTCCTGAAGGCGTCGACCTCAGTGCCATCGGCAAAAATGGAGCTGTTGTTGTAAATGACGAACTTTATGTTTCCGGCCTTCTTCAGAGCTCCGCTTGCTGTCTTGAGAAGTTGAGGGTCGATGTACATGGCATCGGCATTGGACTGGAGTAGTGAGTGCTCGACGCCGCTGGCCCCGAGGGTATCATAGGCGGTAACAATGGAAATGGACTGCGAACCACAGGCGTGGGACATGGCCATCCAATTGGCACTAGATTCCAGAAGTTTGGATTAGCCTCTTCTTGGCAGGCACAGACTCGGGGGTTCGAGGGCGGGGTGCTCGGGACGTAGGAGTACTAGAAAGGAAGGGGATGTTTCTGCTCTCGGACGTACGTTGTAGTCGCAAATAGGTGGACTCTGCTACCTTTGCTCAGGCCCAGCTTCCGCAGGCCTGAGCCAATCTGGTTGATGTAGATGAGAAGGTCGGCGTAGGTCAGGTAAGAGTAACGGGACAGCTCAAAATATTGCCACTCCTTTTCGACCTGTATCACCTCTCCATCAACATTCTTGGGGACCTTCTTCTTCTCCTTGTGAAGATGCACGAGCTTCCTGGTGCCGACGGCAGGCTCATTAGGGTATACCTGGGCACTCCGCTTGACAATGTCATAGACGGTACGAACGTCGGGATGAGGTTGGGTTCGGAGGCCGTTCTTGGCTTTCCAGTGGCGGCGGGGGAGGGTCTCGCCCTCAACGCGCTCGTAGCCCGGCGACTCAACAGAGAAGGGAGGTTTGTGCACCTGATACAGGGGCATCACGCCCGTCGTGTAGTCTGGCATATCGGCGGCGGTGGGGTTCGTAGGGGATCTGGCGTAGAATAGGGTAGTGAGGAGAGAGACGAAAAGGACGACGACGGCGATGATGTTGGACGGAATGATGGCAGAGTTCACGGGAGCAAGCCTAGGGACGATGAACGGACACGGGATTGACGGATGGGCCGAGGGAGGGGAGGGAGCTCCAGCGTAAAGCTACGGTTCCTCTAGGTAAGCTAGGTGGATGAGGGCGGTAACTTTGAAATGTGTCAAAGAGGTTGGCCGGAAAGGTTGTAGAGTCGGAGCTTTTTTCCCTTCGTAAAGATTTCGCAAAGATGAGGGGGAATGTGAGACTGTCAAAAGAGGAGATTCGGGTTGCTTTGGCCGTCGGCTGGGTTACGCAGCTGTATCCGTAGCTGTAGCTGTATGCGAGACTCAAGAGCGCGCGGGTGTGCGTGTGTGCGTGTGTGGGCAGAAGCGTAAAAGCTAACATCGCAGCGAAAGATGGGCGACGGGACTTTAATTGCGTCACGGCTGGAGCTGGGGAGTATGGAGCATCCAATGGAATGAAGCCTGGAGCAAGAGACAGGCAAGCAGCAGCTTGCTGGCACGGCAGGGTGCAAGGCAGGGTACCTAGGGGTGTTGCAGGTAGGGGGATCCGCCATCGGCCGACGTGTCGGGTGGGTCTCCCGCGCACCAAGAAGGTACGTATTTTTCATGCTGGCCCCGACTCTCCAATCCTCCTTCTCTCATTGCTCATTTTCTGGGCCTGGGGACATGGAATGTTGAGCCACTAGTCAAGCTCCCTGCCAGGCTGGGCTGCATTTGTTTTGGTGGCCGCAGACATGAGAGCTAATTAGAGCTGCCACTGTCGATTATCAGCCTCTACGTTACCTTGCTTGCAACCTACAGCGACGACAACGACAGCTTGGCTGCGGCAGTTGGCTGAGGAATCTTTATACCATGTCTTCTTCCGGCGACTCCAGCGGTGTCTCCCCAACCTGGGCATATGACCTCTCTTGGATAGCCTTTGGGCAATATGGCAAGCTCTGGAAGCTGCAAGAGCCCGAGGCGCAAACGTACGGCCACGCCGCAGCTTTCTAAACCAGCATACCTTGCCCCAAGTGTCCATTGCCTCGGCCTCACGAGATCCAACAGCACCAGATTCAGAGTTAGATGCGGGCAGCTTCCTGTGGACCAGATGCAACCTGTCAGTGTCTGTCGACCAGCACCAGGACCAGCACCAGGGCCCCAAGCTTAGCAGTCGCTAGCGTGCGGGAAAAAAAAAAGAGGGGAGGAAACTGCGGCTGCTCTTCCTGGCCAGATGCGAGATCGCTCTGCCTATCCTTTGCCTTTCGAGGATGTGACAGAACCAATCAATGGCCCAAGTGACAACCCTCTTCAGTCTGCTCTACGGATACGCTACCTGTCCACTGATCAATCTTACATATTCCCAACGCTCAACAATGCTACACTCAACTAACTAGGTACGAATTCTGGACAATGAACAGGCACATGGCAGAGACATCGGTATCAGCGGCGGCACGCGCTCGAGTCCGAGCAGGGAAGGTCGGAAGACGTCCAAGTCTCCAAGAGCAGAGCACTTCCGATGAAGACGGCGTACCTCCCGATGAAGGGTTTTGGTCCACATCTCGATATCGAAATGGGCTATTGTTTGATTATATCCTGCAGGCTTTTTGACTCGAAAAACGGGACAGAACCACAGCATACAGTACTTCAACAGACCATTGCCCGGCCATCACGGAGACACGGCTTCTTTAGTCTCGGAACTCCTCTCGGTAAACCTCGCCTATCTACGCGCTCTGCTGACAACTGACAACTGCTGGGTTCATCATCCGCTCACGTGCAAATTCCAGCCTCAGATGCTGACACATGCGGCGGGCTCACACCGACAGCCGAGGCCAGAGCAAAGAAAAAGAGGCTCCAGTGGCTCCCTGGGAGCCACAGTGCCACAATCTCTATCCACTTGCGGACCAACCCTGTTCTGCTCCTGTGATCCTCCCTTGCGGATACATCGTGTCCTCAAACGACAATCCATTCGTTATCCGAATTCCATCAACGACAAAGTTCGGTTCGTCGCACAATTCCAACCGACCGCCCGAGCTCCTCATCCGGGGGGGATACTTTCGCATCTGCCATGCGTCTCGCATCTCGCCGCTTCTGAGGCTATCCCCGCGTAGAGGAACTACCGACATGTGTTGTGCTGACACACTGCCCAATCCTCCCGAATCGTGCGCCTGAGTCAGATTGTGTTGTCGTCATGAATAAAAGTTCACCGCCAGCCTGCATGACTGTCGCTCGAACACCCAGGAAGCTATGGCCACAGCGAGCCACCCACAACTGAAGCCGGGTTCAGGAGTTTGTAACGTCTTCAGCTTGCTGTTGCAGCTTCATATTTGAAGCAGACGGAACACGTCAAAAACATCCCGTACACCATGGCAACGGCGTGCTATGCGGTGGCCAAGACAATCGTCACCGAAACCATGGAAACCAAATAAAGCGGTCGAACACGGCTCAGGTCAAGATCCGGACCGCTCGCGGTGAGAGTTCGTCGTGTGGCAGCCAGTCAAAGAGCAATTTATAGCAACACTCCGTCCATCTCAATCTTACGCTCCCTCTCTCAGCGGGCCGAGCGTTCAGACGGACCCGATCAAGAACCCGGTCATGGAGAGAAGCCGTCTCCTAGTCGGAGATCCATTTGGGCCCCCCATCCCGGTGCAGCAAACAGCCAGCTTTGCCAACCTCGAAATAAGTGTGGGCTGGTTTGGAGGTCGGACGAGACAAGAAGCAAGACCAACCTGAGAGGCCCAGACACCATAAGGCCTCCCAATATACCAGCCCTGTGCCTCTTCCACGCACGTGTCCTGCATCGTCAGCTTTGATATACACGCCTCCCCAGCGTCGGGCCCGTCGTTGCGCTAGCGGGATCTACGCTGGTCTAACGGCTTACACTTGGGAACTAAAACAGCACCGCTCGGCACTCCCTCGTACCAAAGGGCCGTGTGTTTAGCCTCATCCTCTGCATACAGGAACGCCGCACCCATGTATCCGTAAACATGCAGAGATCTAGCGGCACTGCCGTGGTGTATGCCCAAGCCAGATGGTGTCCTCTGCTGCACCTAACGGCCATCGCAGTTCTAGAATGGACTTACCCCATCGGACTGTGTCCACCACCATCGTGTCTTTCCTGTCCCTCGCGCGGCCAATCAGCCAACACCAGCGGCAGGGCCGCTCGACCTCCGACCTTGCTGCACAGTTCTCGAAATATACTCGTCGTAAGCAGTGTCACAACAATGAAACGCCCCTTTCGCAAGCCCCGAGCGTGCGCCTACACAACATGCCCCAAGAGCCACAAGCACAGAGACGCCCAAGGGCCGTCGGGTCCTGCGTGTCCTGTCGCCTAGCGGAGACTCTCGAAGGAAGGCGGGGAGGTGCACCTCCGAGACGTGTTGTCGGCACGGCATTGATGATAATAAGATAAAGTTATGTCGCAGTTGTTCCCTCCCTCTCTCGAGGTGAACTTGTGTCCTGTTTCCCGCCGTTCCAGAGCTGCTGACTGGTTCCGAACATAGCCCCCTCCCCCGGCTTCCTCTCTCGCGGTAGCAACCATGTCGCGACTGTGTGGTATGCGCCCTGAAGGGCTTGTGAGTTGTTTCCAGTCCCCTGGCCTTGGCCAGCATTCCGCGTTGCTCCAGCTAATGCTCCGCCCAGACGGTGGACTCGAGGTTCAGCCCTCTTCCGTCGATGTGTTTTTTCGACGCCATCATCATTCCTTTACCGGCATGGATTCGTCTCACCGTCACCTTCGCCCTCTTCCACTTCATCGTGCCGGTTCTCATTGTCGACAAGATCAAGCGATATAGCGTTAAGAAGGAATGGCAGAGGCATGCCCAATTATCCGTCTACTTCTTCTCCATACTCGTGGTTTTCCTCATGGAGATTATGGAAATTGCCAGACTCGCAGAGATCCGCTACGCCATCGGCCTGCTTCCTTTCGTCTTCGCAGGCTGCGGTGTATGCGCCGTCATGCAGGCCACCCGCGGTATCAAGGGCAAGATTCGCAACTGGCAGGTGGCCAACATTATCTTCTGGATCATGAGCGTCATCGTCACCATTATCAAGATTCTCACGATTCAGCGCTCTAGCATGCGCTTCCCGGAGTTTCGACGAATGGGAACTGACTATCCGACGACCCACCAGGTTCAGGACTTGGCCGTCATTGCTGGATTCTACGTCCTCATCCTTATTAATGAGATAGCGCTGTTCTTCCAAAAGACCTGGGAAGAGACGATCGACGCAGAGAACATCAAGAAGCTGCGCCTCACCAGGTCGATCAGCGACCAGGCCCGCTACGATCTCACCCGGGCTATCGAGGAGGGCTACTACCCGTCAGGCGTTACGTATTTGACGCTGAGACTTGAGGGTGAATCCCAGAGCGAGAAGGCCGTCAGCAAGGACAACATCCTCAAGAAGACGGCCAGTATGGACGCCTCCATCGCAGGATCGTCGTCCAGCGAGAAGACGGCCGGCAAGAGGCTCATGGACGAGGACTCCATCGAACCGGTGCCCATGATTCCCCCAAGCTTCAGACGCAACAGCGAGCGGTGGTCATCGGCCATGACGCTCAAGGACGCCGCTGGAGACGACAACATGAACGAGAAGGTCGGCGGCAAGGAAAACAATAAGAAGCGCGGTAGCGAGAGGTGGTCGAATGCTATGACGCTCAAGGAGCCCGCGGCCCTCCGTGACGGTCACGACAAACGCGTCTCGAGCTTTGCCTCCCCGATGGTCGCCGACATTGACGAGATCACACCCTTGGACCCGCCATCCACCTCGTCATCCAGATACGAAGACGAGCATGCCGCACAAAAGGCGATGCTCCTCGACAGCCCCTTTCCCATGAAGGAACTCCCCGACAGACGCTCATTCATGCTCAAGCCCTCGCGCCCCAATACCGAAAGGTGGTCCAACGCCATGACGCTGCGCGGCGAACTGTCGTCCAGCAGCGGCAGCCAGGAGCCTTCTCCCAAGGAGCACATGGAGCATATGCCCGCAGCGCCCCCAGCCGCGGCAACGGCCCCGACCACGCCGGAGCGCAAGGTCTCGGCCAGCGAGCGGAACATGATGAGGAGATACTCTGACGCCTCGACACGGTCCATCAGGAGATTCTCCGCGCGCAGCGACCTCCGCGAGGCGGCTGCTACTGCGGCGGCGTTTGTGGATGGCGACGAGCCGCTCACTTCGCCCACGGAAGCGCATCCTCTGCAGCCGAACCACCACACGCCGTAAATGACCCCTTCCTCAATGACACCACTATGTACGAATTCTTATCACCTCTTACGCAAATTGTTATCCATCATCTCCGGATACAGCTTTTTGACTTGGGGGCTAGTGTATAATGCAAAACCTATAAATCCAAACCAGATAATACCGGTCAAAGGCGTCAATCGATTGGGATTAGGGCGCGCGCCGGCGGGCGAGGGAGGCGTTTGGACCGGGTTTCCAATTGTGTCTCTTTTTCCCACACCCCAAGCTTTCCTTTTTCAACAGGTAAAACCACGAACTGCTTAATGAGGCATGGACACGTCTCAAAAGATTATTTCTTTTTTCATAATATAGATCAACAAGGAAATTCGTATTCCAGGACAGGGGTGAAATTCAGATGAATAATGGCCTATGACCAGTCTGATGCTCGAAATTGTGACGTGCTCAACTTATGCGGCGCCACGGTACGCTACGGACGTCAATGGATGTTTTCCCCCCGGCGCCAGGAACTCCAGCCGTGGGGAGGTTAAATTGCCTGCACTTGCGCGGGTCGACGGCAAGACGGGTTGGCGCGGCGGGAGGGTGGTGAAGGAAAATGAGGGTGGCTTGCGTGGCTTACATAGCTTTGTGGTGTTATATTTTTGGGGGGACATCCGGATAGGCAAATATCCACGGTAAAGGACGGGCTCGTTTGAAGCTATGAATCAAGGGAAGCAGCTGGATCTTGCCTTGTGAAGCTTTGAATGTCTCTTGTATCCGATAGTGTAGAGTAGTCGATATCCTAGGAACTAATCTCCTGACTGATGACCTTCATCATCTTTCCGAGAGTTTGTATCGAGTGGTGAATATGTCGAAACCACGACGACCCTTGGGGATCCAAATCCATGGAAATCTAAATAATAATTCCCGTCGCGCTACAAGACCGACCAAAGCTGCCTGCCATGGCCATATCGGTGGGCGATTAACAAATAGCCCCGAGCATGCCCCGGCCTTCTACGCGCGCCCATCTTGGACTAGACCAGTATTGGGCCAACCATGAGACATAAGGATAGGTTCGAAGGCGAGGAAAGACGGGCTCTCTGGCAAAGGTCGCAACAAAAGTGTTACTCGCGCTGTACAGTGTTCTCGGAACGCCGAGCCTCTTACATTTTAGATGGAATCACAGTTCACCCAGGGAAGGGAAACAACCAAGCAAGTACAATGGGAAAAGAAGAACCTTGGTCAAACTAACAGTAACTCAGCACCAGTCTTTCTAGCAGAATTTCTCCTTTACCCCTCTTTGTTGTTTATTATCCTCAGAGTCTCCACGGGGGGCGGCAACAAACAAACCCCGTCGATACCTAGGCGAAAGTGCCGATACATGCCTACACCTTCGGCAAAGCCACCCCGTCCCGTTACACAAGAAGGCACCTCGCAGCAACCGAGAAAGCAACGCCGGGTATCCGTACCAGCTGCGATGTGACGTTCGACGTCACTCGGCAGCGGCCCCATGTCCTCGAAGGAACCACATAACTGTCACTTTCGCTCGCGAGTACCTCTGCAGACATAGCATTCAAAACTCTTTATTGTATAGACTATATTGTCGTGGCCTCATTGCGAATCCATTCCGTAGTGAACAAGAAAAGGCCCCGTCCCAACGCAACGACGGGGCTTCGACGAATCGCCCAGACGCCATGCTTGTAAAGCGCTTTAAACACATAGCCCCGCGACAAATCTACCACACATCATTGCCATGCTTGGAAAGCAACACACGCACATTCCCGCTCTATACGTGAAAAGAAGAAGAGAAGCGCTTTCGGACAGTCCAGAATCTTCCAGTTCCTTTCCATGTGACATCTTCTCTCCCCTATTCAAATACTTTCTATTACCACCACTACTCATCTCCTCGCCGACCGGCCGCCTTTTCTCCGGAAGAAAATTAGATACGGCACGTCACTGCTGTCTTTCCTAAACACTGTGTCGCTAAAGTCAGACCCCCGGCCCGTCCCATCGATTCGGATGCTGGTGACCTTTGCATCGCTGATTCTGTACCAAGCTGTAGGGTCGGGATTATGGGTGTCCCGGACGTATGCGTAATAGTGCCCAGTACTGATGGCTGTTCCCGAGTGGACAATAACTGCATAGCACTCATAGTCGAATGGGAGCTCAAACTTCTCGTCCGGCGGGGGGCCCACAGTCTGGCGTTCTTCGGGCGGTATAAAGAACTGATCGAGGTTGAAGTTATTAAAGTCCCAGGTAATCTTGCTGCTGTCCTTGAAAGCTCTGGATCCGTGATCCGTGTAGTTGAAGCGTTTCAAGGAGAGACAAAAGAGCTCAGGCATCCGTGCCAGCCGTGACTGCTTTCTCCCTTCCACTTTCTTATTGCAGTTGTCGCATTGATAGTCCTCAAGGGTTTCGGGCTCGAAAAATGCTCTCACACAGTCTTCCAGGGTGCGTGTCTTTGAGTTGACAGGCACCGAAAGAAAGTCGTGGGTGGACCAGGTGTATGTTCGGTTGTTGCATTGCATGCAGACCACGGTTGAAAGCTCCAAGCCTCTCCAGTATTTATCGACAATGGACAGATTCTTCCTTTGGTACTGGCCCCACCACTCGTAACTGCCTTGCAACATTGATTTGCCGCCTCCCATTTGCGGCGGAGTGGTCTTGTCTGGATCAACGCGGTCTCGGCGTACGTTTGTCTCGTCGTGGAGGTAAGTCATGAGCCATGACATGAACTCTTGTGCATCTTGTTGCCGATTGCCACCAAATTCATCACCCTTGTCCTTGATGCGGCTCTTCTCGCAGACTGACCGAGAATAGTCCTGATTCTAGTTAGCATTTCCAATTTGGAGAGGAGTGGAAAAGACGAACCATAAGTGTCTGAGCCTTCATGACGTCAAACTTGCCAGAGTCTAGCCAGTGGAACAAGTTGGATAGGATCCGAGACATCAACTGGGGGTGATCATTTTTCTCATCAGCCTTCCGTGGCACCTTGTACATGTTTTGCCATTCAAAAGAGGCGAGGTCCTTCCCGAATCCAGGGGACATCCGAAGAGCTTGAATCGTGCTGTTGGCATAACACCATACACCAGGGTTATTGAGGCCAGTAATGTGTAGGCCATCCTTCACGGCATTCCCGACCGAGGGAGAGTCTGGCCGAGCAAGAGGACCCTGCTTCAGATTCCGGGCTTGGTTGGAAAGCGCAACCGCGGCATGGGCCTCGTGATCATCCTGTGTCTGTGATAAACCACTGTAGCTCGGACGAGGTACAGCCGGAGCAGGTCGAGTAGGCGGCGAAGGCAGCTCAGAGTATATGTCGGCATGGTTTTGGGAGTAACCATGGTTCGGCCGATCAGGGCTGACTGGCGACTGCATGGATTCCTGCTCGGTGGCTACAGCAGGAAATCTCCTCAAGAACTCCTCTGTACTGCGCACATGCATGAAGCCTGGAGACCGCGCTGTCTCAATCTCTGCATTGTGCAACGTTTCCTCCCAGAGCTTGACCTCCTCGGGCTTCAGCGGCGTCACCTTGTACTTCCTGCTAGGCTTAGAGATGGAAATAGTGGGTTTCAACGGAGAACGGGCCAGCGGTGCTCTCACAGCACCGGCGGTATGCGAAGTAGCGAGGGCGCTCCTGCCCATGAGGTCTGTCCAAGCATCCAAGCCCCCTTGTAGTAGCTTAGGGGGGTTCTTCAGCTCTTTGCCGTAGTTGAAGTATGTTAATGCGCGTTGGAGAGACAACAAAGCGGCGGCGTCCATATCGGGAGATATGTACCGCGGTATTGAGTCCGAATCCTGGTCGTGGAAAACCACTAGGTCAAAAGCATCCCGCCTCTCGAAATGGCGGTATTCCTGAGGCGGTGAAAGAACCATACTCTCAGCTATTTGTTCCGATGAGATGTTTTCTCGTAGAAGAATGTTAGGTTCAACGCAGATGACCGCTTGCGACAGTATGTGACCTTCATCAAAGTCCTCCCGGCCTCGAATGTCGATAATTAAGACTTGCAAGGTTGCGGATCCCCTTTTGATGTAGTTCATTAGGTCTTCAGCAGTAATGGAGTCGCCCTCGGGTATCGAAATGCTGGAGGTTCTGGAAGTTACGGCGGCATTGGAGGCAGTGAAGTAGTCGGAGGATGATCGACTGGCAGCGACGACGGTATTAATCGAAGCTGAAGAGCCTGTCCGGCTAAACAAGCCCCTTGGCGTGCTCGAAGGTAGTGAAGCCGCTTCGTTGGATACGGTTCCTCTAGCCGGACTGTAGATCGCGTCTGGCATCTTGGGCAGATCCGGAAGACTCGTCACGACAGCCACCCTTGGTTTTCCGGGCGGATCTGGCATCGCTCTCGGTCCTGCCGGTCTCTGGGGCATGATGGGGTGCGTCCGTATGCGGGGGTCCTGACCGGGCAATGCTACAGGTCCTCGCAGATTAGCGAAACGGGCAGCTAGATCCTCTGCGGCCTTGCTCTTAGGAAGACCAGGCCCGCCGGCCCCGGAACGAATCACGTTTCCATGCAAAGACTGGGGTTTCGGTTGGACCGCCGGCTTCGCTTTGGCTGCCGGCGACCCATTGACCTGCGTCCCGGCTTCGGCGCGGGTGGGGCTCGTGACCGGGGGGGTTTGCGGTGTCCGCGGGCGGATGGCATCCCCGTTACTGATGGAAGTTGGTCTTGATGTCGTGGGCCTGACGCCTGTCTTCTGATTATCCGCAATGATATCCGCCTTGATCCGTTCAAAGTTCCCATGCTGTGAGTCTATCTTCTTCATAAGAGCGGTGTAAATGCGGTTTAAGTCCCCGCGACCGCCCTTGACCGATACGGACTCGGTGTGCATGGGCACGTATTTGACAGCAATCAGTGAGGCCTTGATATACTCCTTGAAGGCCATATCGGGTCGACCGAAGTCGCGAAAGGTCTCGGCTTGTCGCATGGCGTTGTCGGCCATCTCAAGGATTTTGCGCAAGGGTAGGTTCATGTCGATGTGAGGAGCGGTGGATGTGAGATCGTCTATATGTGGTAGCGGGGGCTTGCCGCCGCGACCGACAGAGCCCCCATCTCCGCCCATGGCGAAGGTATGTAATCCGGAGCCGTTGGTTAAGACCGGACCGCCGCCGCCGAGGACGGTTCTGGTGGCTGAGGAAGCCGTGGAACTCATGTGAACGGAAAAGGATGTCTTGGAGTCGGGTGTAGAGCTTGAATCATGTCGTTGCAATCTTGGTGACTCGGAAACAAAACAAGGAAGTTATCGCTGGTGGTCTCGACAAAGTGTAGAAGTCGGAAGAGTCGAGGTAGGTAGGACGAAGACGGGACGCGGACGCAACGACAGTCGGCGACGGGTTCGTCATGAGTGGCAGACGCGGGGACGACTATTGTAGACGTTTGGGGTTGACCACAGGTTCGTTCAGATGGGTGCTGCAGGGCGCGCTGGAGTAAACATTGTTCTCTAGATTGAGACGGAGCACGAAAGGGAGGGTCGTAGTGTCGTAGGTAGGATGAGCAAAAGGAAAGAATGGCTGTCTTTGATGGACGGGACTGGATTCGCAGGTGCACAGCGGTCCTGTGAAAGCCAGATGGTCTGTGGTGGAGGGACAGCCTCGTCCGCTGGCGCTAACAGTTTCAACAATAGCAAGACATTGTGGGGAGGAAACGGTACCGTTGCGGCGGCTGTGCTTGGGAGGGGAGACTCGGTACCTTTTCCGACAGGGCCCGTACTCTCTTCCTAGGGCGCTTCGATGTAGAGCAGGGGAATCGACCACCTAAACCACAATGGAGGTCACATCACTGACGCATCCGGACTGGACAGTGGTTCGGACATTGGAACTGGCGGGCAGTGCCCTGCTTCTCTCCCACCTCTGGAGACCGGCCCCGAGTTTTGGGCGGCGAGCATGCACTGACTGACTGAGATGATCCACGGCCTTGGCCTGACAACTCACATCATGCAGCGCCACAACCAATATAACTTGGCTTATGAATGCCCACTTTAGGCAGTTGAATTGTAAATTGCCTTTGATGAGAGGTCCCGTTCCGAAAGTAAGATACACTGCTTGAGGCCTGCAGATGAACTGTACCAGAGCTGGAAGTCGGTGAACAAGTAGCGTAGATATATGTATGTAGACGTTTTTGGTGAGATCCATTGATTACGTAGCTGCCGAGGTGGAAGGCCAAGCCTCGAGAGGTATCCGTACGTCCCTTTCCCATCTCGAATCATTTCAGCCTCAGTTGGCACGCGCCACACCTAGGTTCTCCACCGCTATCGTCATCGCATGTACGTATCTTCACCGGGGACGGGCACGACACTGGGCACCTGGCTTGCCATGCCAGAATCGACCTCCCATACCTTCCTTTGGGTTTAGCGCGGAGACGTCTGTTCGTCACAGGGCCGTGTTCCAAGCGGAGCAGCCACGAGTCCGCGACGACAGCAACCTGAAGATGCTAGACTCCTCCAACGCAAGGCAGCGACTCTAATTCCACCGTCAACACATCCCAACCCCTGCTCATTCGTACTAGGCCAACGTAACCCAGCAGACCTCGACACTCTCGCCCGCAGCTGCCCACGCCTCCACTGGTTTAGCCTCTGCCGAATACGCCTAAGCCCGCTGCATCTCCAACTAGACCACGCCTTACCTTACTGTGTACGCACACCCTACCCTGAGGCTGCTGCATCTGGGCAACCAAGAAGCACACAAGCTTTCCTCGTTATCTTTCATCCACATCTCCGACATACGCGCAATCCATCTGGTCCGCTTTACGTACGACGACAAACACGACAAGAACCTCGCGACTGCGCGCCAACCCCTCTCAGCTAGATAAACTACCCCCGACGATCGATATACGCCTGTTTGCTCTAGCCCCCCCGCCCAACACAACATTCCTAACCTTCCAAAATGATGGGCTGGTGGTCCAGCTCGGCCAACACGGCCTTGGACGAGCAAATCGAGAAAGCCACAGGCAGCAGCTTGTACGACCCGCTGTCATCCGTTGTGATTCTCTTCTAACGCGGATACAGGGAGGATATTGCCCTGAATCTCGAGATCTCCGATGTCATCAGATCAAAGACCGTTCAGCCCAAGGAGGCCATGCGCTCCTTGAAGAGGCGCATCGGCAACAAGAACCCCAACACCCAGTTGAGCGCACTGAATGTAGGCTACCGTTGCTGCCTGATCACTCATGACTGAACTAACCCAGCCGGTAGCTCACCGACACCTGTGTAAAGAATGGAGGCACCCACTTTCTCGCCGAAATCGCCTCGAGGGAGTTCATGGACAACCTGACCTCGCTCCTCCAAGCTGTCGGACCCGCCGCCGTGAATCACGAAGTCAAGCAGAAAATTCTCGAGCTGATACAATCTTGGGCCGCCGCCACCGAAGGACGTCACGAGCTTGGATACATCGGGGAGGTCTACAAAACATTGCAAAGGGAAGGTCACCAGTTTCCTCCTAGAATCAGCGTCTCCAGCAGCATGATCGACAGCAGTGCGGTATGTTCTCATTCACGGTTACAGACCTATCCTACCAACCCAAACTGACATACTTCTACAAGCCCCCGGAATGGGTAGATTCAGACGTCTGCATGCGGTGCCGAACCGCCTTTACCTTCACGAATCGAAAGCACCACTGCCGAAACTGTGGCAACTGCTTCGACCAGCAATGCTCGGCCAAGTCGCTACCCCTCCCACATCTTGGCATCATGCAGCCCGTCCGCGTCGACGACGGCTGCCACGCGAAACTCATGGACAGATCGGCCAAGGGAGGTGCCGCCCCACCATCGCCGCTGCCGCAAGACCGATCTCCCACCTACCCTTATAAGACTCGAAGCACGTCGGCCATGCAACCACGTAATGCCCGCGTCGACGACGCTTTTGACGAGGACTTGAAGAAGGCGCTGGCTATGAGCTTGGAGGAGGTGAAAGGCTACTCTCAGGGCTACGTTGCACCTACTGCCAATGGTCCTTCGGGCTCCAAGGTCAACGGCAGCTCTGCGCCTGCGGCGTCTACCGGCGCGGATGAGGAAGACGACGACCTCAAGGCTGCGATCGCCGCTTCGCTAGCTGACATGGAGGAGCAGAAGCAGAGACACACGGCAGTTTTGAAGGAGCATACCTCTAGTGCCGGCCCGAACCCTACGCAACAGTTCTCTCTACCCAAGAACGATTACGAACTTACACCGGTTGAGGCTGAGAACATCAACTTGTTTGCAACTCTCGTCGATCGACTGCAAACGCAGCCCCCAGGCACCATTCTGCGCGAGCCCCAAATTCAAGAGCTTTACGACAGCATCGGCACACTGCGGCCAAAGCTTGCCCGTACTTACGGCGAGACTATGAGCAAGCATGGTGAGTACACCCCGAAGCCCAAGACGTTCTTTTTCTCACATCTTTTCAAGACACGCTACTAGACCTGCATGCCAAACTATCTACCGTCGTCCGTTATTACGACAGAATGCTGGAGGAGCGCCTATCCAAGGCATATAGCCAGCACGCTATTGGGGGAGGATACAACCTTCCCCCTCGTCAGTCTGGTGCTTATCCTTCACTGCAAGGCAGCGCACCTGGGAGTGCCGGTCCGGCCGAGAATTTCTATACCGGGTCACAACAGATGGATTATGGCCAAGCCCCGCCACCCCAAGCCTACGCACAGCACCCGCAGCACACACCACAACCTCAATACGCGACTTTTGACAAGCGTGCTTCTATGGCTGGTCCCCCGGGAGTGCCGTACCCTGGTCAGGAGCCCCAAAGGACGGATAGCTGGAGAAGCGGAGCTGGTCCCGTACCTGACGGCCCATACGCACCCCAGCAGCCCTATGCTCCGAGCGAGCCGCCTCAAGCAAATCACCAGAACCAGCCAGGTCAACCTCCGGGCACACCTTCGACGGATCCTAACGCTTCTTATTACTTCAATCCTCAGCAGCCCAGCGCACCTCCCTCTGCTCCGCCGAATGCGGATCCTAATCCATCTCCGTACCCGAATCTTCAACAGCCAATGCAATACCGACAGTCCATGCCACCCCAACAAACACCTACCCAAGCACCTGCTCAACCAGCACAGCCAACGCAACAACAGGCCCCGCCCCAGCAGCAAAGCTACTGGCAACCGTCAGTACCACAGCAATCGGCGCATCCCCAACAGCATTGGCAAGGCCAGTACAACAGCGGATATACCCAGGACTCATTCCCGTCTGCACCACAAAACGCGCCGAAGCAGCCGGCGGTGGAGGAGAGTCTTATTGACCTTTGAAAGAGAGGGTAGTAATAAGGAAGCATGCAGGCCATCGGTTCTCGGCGTTTCGGGGTCACCAGGCAGAGCCCAACACTAGCATCTTCAGACTTGAGAATGAGCTGTAAAATGAAACTTTTTATTGAATCATCTTGGATGTCCCATTTGTGACTGACGTAAATGATGTGTTTATGTGTGAACTGAGGACGGCAGGTATAAATGGGGACTGAAACATTCATCTGCCGAACATGTGAGCGCGTGAAACTTTCTATGTGCTCGATAATGTTATCTAGGCAATTGGAGGACAAGTTTCTTCTCAATTTCAGGTGGGGTAATACCATTCTCCGCGCAATCAGACCAAATCCAGACCATTGCAAAGTGTTTATTAACGAGAGTGGTTGCGAAGCTAAGGTTGAGTTCGGTTATGTAGTCTACGCGGCGGCCTAGCAATGTTTCACCCATCGCTACGACCATCTGTTGGAACGTGAGGAAACGCGCAATCAGGGGTATATTAGTTCATATACTTTTTGATCTCTCGCGCTTCTCTAGGTAAGTATTATAAGAGGGTTTACTCAGTCTAGAAAAAAAGAAGTTCATGGTGGCTGACATCCTGGGTTACCTATGCACACGTGAGCAAGCGAGAACCACAAGTGGTCGACTTATACTCTAAACTGTTTCTTCCACTTTCTTTTGGCCGACGGCGTAGTTGCTTCTATTCTTCCTTGATGTTGATCACTCTGTTTATAGATGAGTAAACAAACGAACACTTTGGTCTCGACCCGACAAGTCCAGTGGTGGGCAACTTCGTTGCTTTGTATTTGATAGTTACAAAAAACTTGGCGATGCAAGGCGGAGATGCTATAACTTTCGAGACGCCGGTGAAGAGGGGTCTAGCATGTGCGTCTTGTTTCCTGTCCTCTGCCGATACCCAGGTGCTGGATTATGAGAGAAACATGGAAACTGGCTCGCATTGGCAGCAAACCTCTACTGGCTCGCTGGGAGCATCAGAGTTTGGGCACAAGAATCATTCGACAGATGACGGACTGCCTCATTAGGAAACAATCCAAGGTATTATATTGCATCTTCCTCTCGTTGCATCTGCGCTTTTATCGGAAAATTCATGCACGTCATGTGTATACCAGACAATGCTATCGACTTTGATGTCTTTTCAACATTGTTAACCAAAGTACTCCTCGCTCGTCTCGTCCTCCTCACTAGCATACCCTCCAGCATCGCGCTCTTTGGACAGACGATCTGCTTCGTCATCTTAGCATCAAAGACCCCGTAGATTAGGACTGAAAAGCACATATTCCCTCCGAATCACGATCCTACCAGAAGCTACTGTAAGTGGTAACCCCTTCCGCCGGCTTCAGCAAAGTCGGCCACCATTCATCGTGCCGGACCAATCACAAGAAGAAAGTGTTCGATTACCAAGCCCGTGCTCCCATCCGGCCAACCACGGCCGGCGCCAGCGCGGTATGACTCCACTTTCCGCCCCGGTCATCGGCGCCGGAAATGCGACTGCGGTCCGTCGCAGCATTCTTGAAACCAGCCAACGGGAAGCGCCCAAGGTACGGAACCTTAGAAGCCCTGCAGCAGCCCACGTGGACCCCGTCCGGTGTCGTCGTTTTTCCAAGGTCAGTCCGACGGCTGTAGTTCATCTGAGTCATTTCAAAACAGACAGACTTCCCGTCCCTCCGCCGATGTCCACCCACACCAAACAAGGAAAGTTTCCCGAGAACGGGAGACCATTACGTAGCTTACCTTTCGACCCGAAGCACTCACTGCTCGTATATTTGGCATAGTTTGATCGTGAACCATCCGACATCTATTAGACATCGTTGCCGCCTCCATTGCGAAGTTTAGAAGTTCAATTATTAGACCACATAAACTTTCCCTGTTTCTATTAGAATCCAAGCATCGTGCAATAGCAGATTGACCACACTCTACCCCGCCATCCCGTCACTTCATTTCATTCCATCATCACAGAGCTCATAGAAACAGCCTCGGACCTCACGACCATCTTCATAAAAATGCCCGTCCAAATCCATCTAGTCCGCCACGCCCAGGGCTTCCACAACCTCTCCCTCGAGAACGAGACCCTTCGCGATCCCCTCCTGACGGACAAGGGCAAGCAGCAGTGCGCCGACCTCCGCGCCGCCTTCCCCCACCACGCCCAAATCACCCACCTCGTCGCCAGCCCCCTTCGCCGGACGCTCTACACTTGCCTTTTGGGCTTCGGCTCCGACGCCGCCGCACCCGTGGGCAAGTCCCTGAAGGTCCTGGCCCTGCCCGAGGTCCAGGAGGTCTCCGACGCGCCCTGCGACACCGGGTCCGCGATCGAGGACATTGAGGGCGAGTTCGCCGGCCGCGTGGATTTCGGGAGAGTGCCTGAGGACTGGATCGACAAGTCGAGTCCCGGATCCAGGTGGGAGCCGACGCTGGAGAAGCTGGAGAAGAGGTCCGCCGAGGCGAGACGGGCGCTGAGGAAGCTCGTGGGCGATGTTCAGGGGGATGCGCAGGTCGTGGTTGTCTCACACGGTGGTATTTTGCACTTTTTGACAGATGATTGGTCCGGCATTGGTCCTAGAAAAGGTATTTTACGTTTTGTTTACCCCTTCTTCCCTTTCAATATCACTCAGAGCTCTCAATGAGAAGGGGGGGGGAGGGGAGAGAGAGAAAGATCAAATATTGACTGAGGTGCGTAGCAACTGGCTGGGAGAACACCGAGTACAGATCGTACGAATTCGCCGACTCCACCGGTCAGGACCCCAAGGCCCTCCTCGAGGAGACGCAGGAGAGCTGGGAGCGTCGCAAGGGCGGGAATACTCGCCCGACACCTGAGCAGCAGGCCGAGCTTCGCCAGACCTTCTACCGGGAAATGGAACCGTACCTCAAGTACAGCCCGGAGAGAGGCTGGATGCAGTAAGTTTGAAGGGGTGAAGCACGGTTGATATATGTGAGGACAGAAATGGTGGTGTCAACATTTGGGGGCCTCTCTATTTGCATAGTACACAGCTTGGTATAATCCCAAACACCATAGACCCATCTAGAACCTTTTTTACCGTTTTTACTTTTAAAAGTCCTCCTCGCCGGACCCAGCAACAATAACGTTGTTCACCTTCAAGACCATACGGCATAATTGGGTCGCGAGCTGGAGCTGCTGCTTCTTGCTGATAAGAGGGTCGATGACAAATGCATCCTTCATGTCGTTGCTGCCACGCTGCATGCAGTCGACACCGAGCTTGCCACGGACTCCAGGGCTGGCCTTGACCTGCTGGCTCTTGATGTCGGCCAGTGTCGCGATGGGATTGAGACCGCTGTTCTCGGCCAGCGCCATTGGAACAGCGTCGAGGGCCTCGGCAAATCCGCGCATGGCGTATTGCTCAAGGCCGGGGGTCTTGGCAGCGGCGTCCTCGACTGCCAATGAGCAGGCAATCTCAGCAGCACCACCACCGTAGACCACGCGGTTGTCCTTGACGAGGTTGCGCACGACGCACAAGGCATCGTGGAGGGAGCGCTTCGCCTCGTCGATGATCTAGTATTCGAGGTTAGTTTTCGGCGATCTCAAGCATCACAGTTTGAACTCACCATCTTGTTGCTACCGCGTACGAAGACGGTCACCGCACGAGTATTGGCGCACTCCTCGATGACCAGCATCTTCTCCCTTGTTGTACCAAAGGTCATTTCTCTGACGATACCCGCAGTTCCGAGCTTCTCAGGCTTGAGGTCCTCAAATCGCGGCACAATACGGCCGTTTGTCGCAATAGCCACCAACTCAATCTCGGGTCCACCAACCCACCGCACGGCAGGCAGATCGTTCTGGAGCAGGAGGTGGTTCGCCTCGTCGTCGAAGCCCCACTGGCAGAGAGCCAAGTTGGCACCGGCGTCCTTGATCTGTTGGATCATCTCGATAAACTTCTCGCGTTCGTAGCTCTGCAACTTCTTGTATTCCTCGACGCTGGTGATATCAAGCTTGTGCTTGGTCTTGGGCTTAGGGGGCTCGAAGGCGCAGGTAAGAATGGCGATCTTGGCGTCTTTGACTTCGGAAGGCATCTGAGGGTGGGAGAAATCCTTGTCGATAATGACACCCTTGACGAGCATAGTATCCTCCAAGGCTCCTCCGACCTTGCCATCAACCTTGATCAGCTCAAAGTCAACGTCCCTCCGGTCAAGGTCGGCAACGGAGAGGACAGCGTCTACTGCGATCTGAGAGAACTGGTCGTGCGCCTTGGAGACAATCTTGCTGCCTAAACTTGTCCGCGCGACCTTCAGCAGGTTTCCTGTCTCTTCTTTGCTGAACTCGATAACATCTGAAATCTTGTCGAGCTCTGACACGGCGATGTCGCAAGCCTGGTCGTATCCGTCCGCAATGCGGATGGGATGAATGCCCTTGTCGATCAGCTCCGCCGCCTGCTCAAGAAGAGCCCCAGCAAGGACGACAACACCGGTTGTACCATCACCAATCTCGTCATCTTGCGACTTTGAAAGCTCCACCAACAGCTTAGCGACGTGGTTTGAGATCTCCATCTGTTGCAGAATCGTGGCACCGTCGTTCGTCACTGTGATATCTCCATCAGGGGAAATGAGGATCTTGTCGAGGCCGCGGGGACCCAGGGAGGTCTTGACAATATTCGCGACCGTTCTGGCAGCGAGTATGTGGTTTTTGACGGCTTCGTTGCCGTATTGTCTCTTCTTCTTTCCTTGGCTGCGGGGCAATCAGTCCTGGGGCCCTTCATCAGGGGTTCGGAGCGAGAGAGGGGATGCTTACTCTCTGACGACGATGAAGGGGCGGCCCTGCTCGTCCTTCATCACGGCCGCTGAAGCGTCATTCCATCAGTATGTGCGGTCTCGAAGCTCGGATCGTAGCATTGCTTACCATTGGCCATATCGAGGTCTAGACATGCTGTTAGCTGCATGCACTATAAATATAAGAAGAAAGGGTGGCACGTACTCATAGCCATGTTGAAAGTATTCGCACGTCACTGGGGGTTCGGGTAGGTAGTGCGATTCAACTTGGAGTGACGCCAGGGGAACAGAGGTATCGTGCGTTGAGGGGGGTTGAGCTCCAAGGACCGGGTCGTGGTGGACCAAAATTTCTGAATAATTGGTGGTGCCGGCCATTCTGGGGGACCAGAAGCTTCGGTTGCCGGGGTGCAGATAATCCGGAGGCTCACCGCCTGGTACGGCCTGGAACCTGGAAGGCAGCAGCAAGTACCCCGCCATGGATGTGGTTGCCCCTCCATGAACATGACCCAAGCGCCCCACTCATCCCACTTCAGGTGCAAACAGGTCCAAGTCGTCATCTCCGAAAAGTCGAAAGCCGATAATTGAAGAGCTTCAAATTCGCCGAGTGAATCATTCATGCGCAGACAACGTATGCAACAATACTTCTCCTCATTCTACAAATCTCAAACCCTCGGACTGTTGCGACATCCCCCCTACACCACTTCATCTACCGAAAACCTCAAAGTCAAGGAACCCTTCACCTACCCATCTTACCTCAAGTCAACATGTCGCGCCACCAGGCAGTACGCAACCTCGACTACGAGGAGGCCCTAGATGAGTTCGAAGGCGACGATTACGAAGATGAGGGCGAGTCTGATCAGCTCAGCGCAGAGGATCGTGAGGCCATGTCGATAGGAACAGCGACAGTGCAGAGTACTCTTGGTCCCGATGCCGACAAAGTAACCGTGCAGCAAATTCAAGAGTCGCTGTGGCACTACTATTACGACATTGAGAAGACGGTTTCTTATCTACAAAAGAAATTCATCGCTCCGCCAGTGGCCACCAAGCAGGACAAGAAGGTCAAAGATGGTAAGTTCAATTTTCCTACACAAATGTGAATAGGTTTCCCGTAGGGTGGCGGCAGTATCAGAAGTTGAGTATTTCGGTAGCAGACGGGTTTGGTTGCGGAGGCATGGACGACAAAAGTACGACTTGCGGCACAGCATCAATCTCAGCATACCCAGTTACCAGGGTGGCATTACTCTCCCCGGCTTCTTATTTCCACGGCATTCCTTGGATGAATGTTCCCAACAACCGGCAGTCCGTCTTCATTCCTCCCTGTTCTCTTCCCGGGGGCCTTTTGGGCGGCGGTGAAGGTCCCAAGCTGTCAAAACTCCAGGCCCTGGCTGCAGCACGAAAGAAGAAGACAACCGAGGTGAACAGAACAGACGACAAGGTGGATCGAGCCGAGAAGAGGATGTCAACTCTTGCCATTGATGAATCGTCCAAGGAGAATCAGAGAGGCGGTTTGAGTATGCTAGCCAAGCGACAGAAGTTGGCAGAAGGACCCGCCTCAAGGACTCAGTCTTCGAAGCCAGTCTCACCACCGCAGCAGAACGACGCGGCTACGGGATCAGTCAACATGGATGTCGACACGGCCAACGAACCTCCTTCCGAGGATCGTGATCAGACCGAGGATGATTGCTTAGTGATGCCATCTACAAAACCATCTGCCTTTGCTCAGACGCTGTTCGGAGCTGCTCAGGATACTGCCGCCGCTGCTCAGACGTATTCATTGCCGTACATGGACTCTTCCACCTTTGTACCCAGTGCTTTCTCTCAACCAAGCCCTGATGACGTCGTGCTCGCCGCTCAGGCGAAAGGTTCGCGGTTCGCGAAGACACAGTAAGATGCTGACTCTAATGATTTCTAGCGGGCACCAAATTCGACGCTGCCGCCAAGAGCGCAAGCAAAAAAGTGGTAGCCAAGTCGACTGGCTCACAAACTCCAACCCTCGAGATGAAACAACTCCAGGTCGACGACTCAGCAGCACCGAAGAACAAAAAGCTGGACGTTATGAAGGAGTTTGCGAAGAGCGAGAACAAAAGAAGCGCCAGCTTTGTAGTAGTCGGTAAGTGAATCTGCACTGTTCTTCTCTCCAACACACAACTAACACTTTTTAGGCCACGTGGACGCTGGCAAGAGCACATTGATGGGCAGATTGCTGTTGGAGTTGAAATACATTGAGCAACATCTAATCGATCGCTATCGACGACAGGGGGAGAAGATTGGAAAGTCATCATTCGCCCTTGCCTGGGTCATGGATCAGCGAGAGGAGGAGCGCGAGCGTGGTGTTACCATCGACATCGCCACAAATATGTTCGAGACCGAAAAGACACGATTTACGATTCTCGACGCCCCTGGTCATCGGGACTTTGTTCCCAACATGATTGCTGGGGCAAGTCAAGCGGACTTCGCCATTCTCGTCATCGACGCCAATACCGGGGCTTTCGAGAAGGGTTTGAAGGGCCAGACAAGAGAGCATGCTCTGCTTCTGAGGAGTCTAGGCGTCCAACGCGTCATTGTAGCTGTGAACAAACTGGACATGGTTGGATGGTCAAAAGATCGCTTTGATGAGATCTCAGAGCAGGTCACGGGCTTCATGAAAGGCAACGGCTTCCAGCTCAAGAATGTCACCTTCGTACCCATATCCGGACTCAGCGGCGCCAATTTGGTGGAGAAGCCAGATGACGAGGGTCTATCGTGGTACACAGGCCCGACACTCATCGACGCACTGGAAGACTCGGATCCGATGGCGAGAGCGACAGAGAAGCCTTTCCGAATGTCTATCTCAGAAATCTACAGATCGCAGCAAAGCCAACTCACCGTAGCTGGCCGGATAGAGTCGGGCACGGTTCAAAACGGCGAGGCATTGATTGTCCAACCAAGCGGCGAGGCTGCCTCAATACGGTCGATCGAGGTAGACTCCGAGGTGCAAGAATGGGCCGTTGCAGGACAGAACGTCAATATCGGCTTGTACGGCATCGACCCGATTCACGTGCGCGTAGGCGACATTATCTGCACCAAGGCGGCCCCCATCGAGACGAGCGATACGCTGACGATGAAGGTCCTAGCTTTCGACCACTTGATGCCAATGCCAGTGGATGTCCATCGTGGTCGTCTGCATGCGGCTGGCAGAGTTGAGGGCATTCCGGCTGTGCTGGACAAGTTGACGGGGGCGACGGTGAAGAAGAATCCCAAGATCGTGCAGCCAGGCAAGGTTGCGCGGGTGGTAGTCAAGCTAGAGTCCAAAGTGCCGTTGGAGGCTGGGCAACGAGTGGTGCTGCGAAGCGGTGGAGAGACAATCGCGGCAGGGCTATTAGAGTAAAGCGGTGTCAGTGAAAGAAGCAACTTGGCGTGGATTCGTATATAGCAGCTTGGTGGACACTTGACGATCGGAACGAGATGCTTCCATGCATGGCGTGCGAGTTACGACAAGCGGTGCTGGCTTTGGGGCCCAATTAGAGTTGGAGGTGCTGAAAATAGAGTTGGCTGCAACTTTAGTTGAAGCGCAGCCAATGGGGGCGTGCCTAATTCATAGATGGATGAGAAATGAACGGTTTACAAAAACCGTTCCTGGACTCTTGATAGTGCTCATGCTATGTTTTGAAGCAAGCTGACAACGCTTACTCCACGATCTTCCTTCCTCATTTGGGACTTGACGACTCTGTGTGTGACTCTTTGGAATGTTTTCAGTTCTTGGGCATTGAGATTTGACATATTCCCGAGCGCTCGATCTGGGAAACGTTGCCTATTGTAAAGGCCACATTGACAGATTGACAAGGACCCGTCCGATTGAAGCGGAAATGACGCCGTTGTGCCCATGCACCTCGGGAGAGCATGGGCCAGCAGCCAAAGCTCAACCCCTGCTTGGCCCCCCGTCCTTGCGGCGTGCGCCCCCCTTATTTCAGGGCGAAGACGGGATGGCACTGCTAAGAGCACCTTAAGTGAGGTAAAGTGTCGCGTACCTTGCCCTATCTCCTCGCCTTACACACGAATAGCACCTTCCGCTTACTACTATGATATTGCCGCGTTCCCCCATTCCCCACCCGCAGACTAGTGGTGGGAATATTCTCGAAAGGGGACAGAGAGGCGCGCATTGCCCCGAGATCGAGATGGATGGGGGGGTTAAACCGGTTGAAGCCACTCTGTTCCTTTCTGAGCTACTGGAGAGTCGGAAGGGACAGTTACACCTGGTGACTCTGCAAGGCTACCAGGGATCCATGAGAACAAATGTCATTGCCATTAAAGTGACCGAGTTCATTGCGTCGAAGCAAGTACACATATCGGATCGTGAGTCGCATCCAACGGGACACGCAGACAAATGCGCAAGGTGCCTCTGTCACATACTGCGGCGTAGAAGTCAACCGAAACGGTGGAAGCAATGCGAACAGAAAAGCCACGTTGGATGGATGTCCCAAGACCCAAGTCCTAAACGCCCAGGGGCCACTACCCGGAATCGAAATCTCCAGAATCACAGCCTTGGTGGGGCAGAAAGGAATGACCCCAGCCTGGACGGCAGGCAGCGGCAGCGGTGAGGCGCGCACACCTTTGACTCCCGTGGCTTGGGGCCAATACTCACACGGTACATGCTCACTGTCCAGCTGCAGCGGAGATGTGTCCCCCGAGCACCTAATTCCTGCCATTCCAATCTCCATCTGCCGAGCACCAGGGCATTACTTTACCTACCTAGTGCTGAGTGCCATCGATGCCTTAGGTAAGGCGCCAAATAGAGTACGGCTGCACCAAGGGTCCACACAGTGAGGATCCACCAGGGACACCCATACACAAAGGGAAGAGACCCCTGTCACGTGTGGCGCTCGCAACATGAAATCTGGCCTTTTGTGCAATCTGGACACCTCGACTCTTTTTTTGGAGAAGGCATTCTTAAAGGTGCCAGCTCTTCCCTTTCATCGCTGACAGTCCTCCTTCTCCAATTCACCACTGCCAAAGCCACCTCAACTCGATTGGGTGTGTAAATAGTAGAAGGGAATCCAAAAATCCTTTCTTCCGCGCGTCTTTGACGTTTTCTTGTTTCTTTTTTTCCCCGACACCATCTTTCTAGGCACAAGAGCTATTAAACAACACAGGGGAGCTTCACAGCACCACCAAAATTCCTACAATGTCGCGATCCAGAAACTCGATGGCCTTGGGCTTCGGCCTCTTGGCCTGGATGGCTCTCCTCTTCTCTCCCCTGGCTTTCGTTCAGACTGCCCAGGCTCAGGACACTGAGAGCTACGGCACTGTGATTGGTATCGTAAGTAGTTCATCCTACCTTCCCTGGCGGTGCACCCTTTGGCAGCTCGTCCTCAATCGGCAACGACAACAAGATCACATCAAAGGGCGATTATTCTAACTCCCAATTCTTAGGATCTTGGAACTACCTACTCTTGCGTCGGTGTGATGCAGAAGGGCAAGGTTGAGATTCTCGTCAACGACCAGGGTAAGTCTCAACGGTCGCAGGAGCTCCCAATCTCATTTCCTCAACTCTGGTAACCTTGACTGACTCCTCTGCTTTCCAGGTAACCGTATTACGCCGTCTTACGTCGCTTTCACCGAGGAGGAGAGACTCGTCGGTGACGCCGCCAAGAACCAGGCCGCCGCTAACCCCACCAACACCATCTTCGACATCAAGTGAGCTCCTCCTCGACCGTCGAGCGCTCGAGATACACTGCTAACCACCTCCAGGCGTATGATTGGCCAGAAGTTCTCCGATAAGGCTGTTCAGACCGATATCAAGCACTTCCCCTACAAGGTCATTGAGAAGGATGGCAAACCCGTCGTTGAGGTCGAGGTTTCGGGCTCCGCCAAGCGTTTCACCCCCGAGGAGGTTTCCGCCATGATTTTGGGCAAGATGAAGGAGGTCGCCGAGGCCTACCTTGGCAAGAAGGTTACCCACGCCGTCGTCACTGTCCCCGCCTACTTCAACGACAACCAGCGCCAGGCCACCAAGGATGCCGGTGTCATTGCCGGACTTAACGTTCTCCGCATTGTTAATGAGCCCACCGCCGCCGCCATCGCCTATGGTCTTGACAAGACCGACGGTGAGCGCCAGATCATCGTCTACGACCTTGGTGGTGGTACTTTCGATGTTTCCCTCCTGTCCATTGACCAGGGTGTCTTCGAGGTTCTGGCTACCGCCGGTGACACTCACTTGGGTGGTGAGGATTTCGACCAGCGCATCATCAACTTCTTCGCCAAGTCATACAACAAGAAGAACAACGTCGACATTACCAAGGACCTTAAGGCCATGGGTAAGCTCAAGCGCGAGGCCGAGAAGGCGAAGCGTACCCTCTCTTCCCAGATGTCCACTCGCATTGAGATCGAGGCCTTCTTCGAGGGCAAGGACTTCTCCGAGACTCTTACCCGCGCCAAGTTCGAGGAGCTCAACATCGATCTTTTCAAGAAGACTCTCAAGCCCGTTGAGCAGGTGCTCAAGGATGCCAAGGTCAAGAAGGAGGATGTCGACGACATTGTTCTCGTCGGTGGATCTACCCGTATTCCCAAGGTTGTCAACCTGATTGAGGAGTACTTCAGCGGGAAGAAGGCTTCCAAGGGTATCAACCCCGACGAGGCCGTCGCTTTCGGTGCCGCTGTTCAGGCTGGTGTCCTTTCCGGTGAGGAGGGTACTGAGGACATCGTCCTCATGGACGTCAACCCCCTGACTCTCGGTATTGAGACCACTGGAGGTGTCATGACCAAGCTTATCCAGCGCAACACCCCCATCCCTACCCGCAAGAGCCAGATCTTCTCCACCGCCGCCGACAACCAGCCCGTCGTTCTCATCCAGGTTTACGAGGGCGAGCGTTCTCTTACCAAGGACAACAACCTGCTTGGCAAGTTCGAGCTTACTGGCATCCCTCCCGCACCCCGTGGCGTTCCCCAGATCGAGGTCTCCTTTGAGCTCGACGCCAACGGAATTCTCAAGGTCTCTGCCCACGACAAGGGCACAGGCAAGCAGGAGTCCATCACCATTACCAACGATAAGGGTCGTCTTACCCAGGACGAGATTGACCGCATGGTTGCCGAGGCTGAGAAGTACGCCGAGGAGGACAAGGCTACCCGTGAGCGCATTGAGGCTCGCAATGGTCTTGAGAACTACGCTTTCTCCCTGAAGAACCAGGTCAACGATGATGAGGGTCTCGGTGGCAAGATTGATGACGAGGAGAAGGAGACTGTAAGTTGCCACATTCCTTTTGACACATTCCAACAGATTGTTAACAACATGATTAGATCCTCGAGGCTGTCAAGGAGACCACCGACTGGCTTGAGGAGAACGGCGCCACCGCCAACACCGAAGACTTTGAGGAGCAGAAGGAGAAGCTTTCCAATGTCGCCTACCCCATCACCTCCAAGATGTACCAGGGCGCCGGTGGCGCTGGTGGCGAGGACGAGCCCCCCTCCCACGACGAGCTCTAAATTCCATAGATTTGTTCTTGTTGCTTCGTTTCGGGATTCAAAAGAGACAGTACCCAAAAATTCCATGCAATTTTTCGTCTCTGGTGTTGGCAGGTTAATCGGCGTCGGCAGCATGGAGCATGACTCCACCATTGTGTAAAGTATACAACGCATAAATGAGACCTCTTGAACACATGTTTGTTGCCGTCTTATCGTGCTTGTGAATGCGATTTACTGTCCGTTACCCCCGTAAACTCTTCAATGGGCCCTGTCTATGCTTGCGTAGTTTTTACACTCGATCTACCTTGCGCTCAAGGCCGTCAAACATGGTGTGGAGTAAATCCAAGTCGAGATTATACGAATGTAGCATCAGGCCAAAGTTTAACCCACCTGTTAGGTATCTCCGGCCATGCTCCCAGAGATTATATTAGCTGTATTGCTTTTAAGATCCGCGTACAAATCAAGTAAAAGTTTGGCCGTTGAGAGTCACTGCTCAACGTGGGCCAGGCCCACACTACCTGAAAGGGAGGCTAAACTTACGCATACTGCCATATCCGTAGTAAGGACGACAATGACCCGGTCCAACGCCGAATGAGTGCAACTTAACTCACCTCACCTGGGGGTAGTTGGGGGGGCGGCGGTTGTTCTCGGCACTGGCGGGATACGTAACAACCCCGAGGTTGGAGCAGCAGATCATTTCTTGGTTAAATGACTTACGTTGCGCTGCTCTAGAAGTACGGGTGCCTTGTATCCACCTAGAATGCTGGGACTCAGTGAAGTCTCGATTTCAACAAGTCTGCAGCATAGGTGGTTTATTTGTTATCATCATGGCACTAGGCTCACTGACGGCCGGTCGTCCTATGTCTACTGAGTGTCACTTGAGACTCGAGAGACACTATGTAGGCGAGATGGAGTGACCCCGTACGGATGCTTTACAAGAGTTCTTAATCTGGACTGCTCAGGGTCTCGAAAAACTTTAAACCACCGCATTGGGCCTCTAGGTGGAACTTGTTTCTGTTAAGGTAGTTGTATTAATATGACTATATGAGATAGCTCAACTGACTTAAACGACGGCCATTTCAAAGGTCCGTCTTTCGAAACTCCTGCTGAGGGCGTGAAGCCGCCCCCAAATGAGGCAGAGGTACAATGTGAAGAAGTTCGAAATGACTCTTTGCTCGCTGCGCGACACGACAGCATTCCGATAATTCCGTGTATACAAGTTGTGGCAGAAGAATCATTATAAAACTGGCAAGTTATGGCCATGAATCAACGCTGCTCACCTCGGTTTTCTCGTCATCATTTGCATTCCTATTTTACTTGCACTCACTCAGTCACTCGCTCAGCGACACTCTCGCTTTCATCAAACATACACATACTTCCACCCACATATACACACCAACTTAGCGTTACCGCTCAACAACTTACCACCACAATGCAACTTTCCTGCCTCGCCCTCTTCGCTGCCACCGCCGCCGCCCTGGCCTTGCCCCAGCCCATCCCCAAGCCTGACTACGATGATGATGAATGCGACATGTCGTGCTCCTGCCGCAAGGCCTACAAGAACACGTACTGCACCGATGTCGAGTTCAAGGACCAGTGGAACTGCATCAACCCCGAAGACAGGCCGCCCCGTTCGTTCATCCGGCAGACAGACTACGGGGCAGCCCCGGGTCGCGTTACGGTTTACTGCACTGTTTAGATGGGAAGAACTTTATGGCGGCGGCGACGAAGGAATCTTGACTGGGCATGGCCAACTCTGTGTGGCTTGACAGATATACATTAGCCGCACGTAAAACTGGTGCTGTCGAGCCTCCTGTCCCTCCAAGCGGCTGGTGAGGTTGATGGAGGGGGGGCTGGCAGGCTTGCCGGTTTTGACGCGGAGGAGGGTGAACAGGAGTGGATTTCCAGCGATAGATATTCATCCGTGGCTTACTTATATAACTCTTTGGTGAACAAAGTTATAATCTCATTCTTCTAAACAGTGTAAAAGACGTGGCTATCGACGTCGCAAAGTCTCTGACCGGCTGTTCATCGATTACGGACGAGAGTCTACCCGATCTGGACGTACTTGTGCGGCTCATTCTTGACGTGAATCTTGTCACCGAGCTCACCTCTATCTTGATCCAGTGATGGATGTATGACAACTCAGGGACTTGGCGTGGTAATTTCCCGCCCATATTCCTAGCTTCAGGTTACCCGAGAACCACTATCTCGGTAAGAACGCCATACTTTAGAAGCTCCAAATGCTTCCCCAGATTGAGTGAGGAACCGTTGCAAAGCTTAAGTTATGCTTGGCAAAAGAACAGACGGAACCCCCCACCCCCACGTCGTCTCATCTATGTCAGGAACGCCTCCTTCGTCGACCAGGAATCCTTGACCTTTTTCCATCCCGACGAGTGGACATAGTCAAGGGAGCTTCTATGCACCCCACAGACGATAACGAACTGAACGGCAGTGATTGAATTCTGGTGAATTTGTAGAACGACGACCTTGCTTTGCCTCAATCGCCACTAGGCACTAGACTTCGCGGGGATGGTTTCTCAGCCAGTCTGCAATACCACGTTTGATCAGTAGCCGATGAGCCCAGGAACCCTCCTCCCTTTTGATGTTTTGGTGGCCATCTTGTTCAGTCTCGATTGTTGTCGAGGCCGGGCATCTTCTGGAACGGCAACCCGGAGACGAACCGATGATGGCTGTCACCGCTTTCGAAAAGCGACCGAGGAGACACGGCACGGGGCTTTAGGAGCACATTTATAACAACCATTGGCATATTTAATGGCTTTAGAGACTAAATTTATCCTTCTATCGATCCGCCGTGTTGCGTACGGTCTTATACCCGTCCGTGAGAGATACCGGAGGTGTAGGTGGAAGCGGAGGGTCAGTGCCAAACTTCTTCGAATTCTCCCATTCTCTCTGACGCTTGGAAGTCTGACCTCTGTAAGTCGGACTTGCCTCACATTCTCATCCCAAGTCAATCTCTCTTCTGGAGTCGTCAATTCCGGGGAAGAAGTCAGTTCCCATCTGAACATGTACCGTAGACAGAGCGTTGCGTCGTAGTCAGAATCCACCGAGGAAGCAACTCGGAATACGTTTCCCAGAGTGGCTGTTCGGGAGAGGAGAGACGTAGGAAGGCTTGGAGAATCAGTCAAATATCGTAGGTCCTAGTCGTGCTCATGTGGCCCAGCGGCCGTTGCTGTTCTGTGTCCTTCGGGGTCACGAGAGTTGCGGATATGGGGTGGCGGACGGACGAGTAAGTAGCTGCCGTTCTGCGTGGAGGAGGAGGTCAATATGCATCTGAATTCCATCTACAAAGGCAACATACCCTGTAAAAGCCGTGGTAATGAACAGACTTGACTATATCAGTATCGTCCATCTCAAGCAGGAGGCAGTGTTTTGGGATAATCGAGTCGAACAGGCTTCTTGTATCACCATACCTCGCCGCATACATGGCCTACGAATGTTGGTTGAGGAGAGTCGACTTTAATTAAACTCGCTTAGACGTACGTTTCTACAATGTGAATGTCATGGGATAACATACCGTCGATGAGCGCTCTGATGTGGGTCAGTGATGCGCGTCTGGGTCGTGGTGTTGGGCGAGTGGCCAGGTCATAAGGGAGAACCGTTACACCCATGGCCACGATTCTTGATTGCATTACCTCGTTCGAGACTCAAATTTGGATAGACGCTGTTTGGTAGCAGGGCTACTGATGTGCCGACACGTTGATGGTTGGCAATTCAATGTAAAGGATGAAGCTTCGATGTCTGTCGTAGTAGTCGCCTGAACCGAGATTATTAAAATGGGCATTGGTCAAAGGGAACATGAAGCACTGGATTTGACAGAAGTCATGTTGAAGAAGGTGAAATGGCAATGGCAGGGCTTTGGGTGGTCATCGTACGGGTCAAGAGCTTGAACATGGAGCTGGGCATTTGGATTAGTATTGACTTCAAACCTTATTGAAATTGATGTTGAGAAACAATCAACGATCCTCAAGCAGATTGATTTTTCACAACGCACTCCAGCAGACCAGAGGACGTCAAAAGAAGCCTGGAATCCCGTTTCCCTCCAATGTTATCTAGCGTCCTTCTGCATTCCTCGGCAAACAGCATCTCCCTCTCGGGAAGCACGAGCGAGCGGCGGGAGTAAGCGTTCCCAAGCCCGTCGTCCAGCATTCCGATCTGCTGGTGAATGTGCCTAAGCCACTTGAAGTGCTTTGAACAAGTCTAAATAAAACTTTGAAAACTGGGGGGACGTGGTACACAAGTGTGGTGGCCCGCGTAATGTTCACGAGGGGGTCGTACATGCGGCTCTCGTTACTGTTACTCAGCATTCCACAGAAGTTTATCAAGACGACCATTGAATCAAGGGGGGAAGGGGGGCATTTGGTGAGAAACCAGAATGAACGATCAAAAATGATAATGCATCATTTCTTGGGCTATAGCATTCGTTAGGATTGTCGCCGACGAAATACTTGGACCTCAAGTGTCGGATTGTGTCGTTGGCGTGCTTGTCACGTGTGCGGGCGGGCCCACAAAGATACTTGATGAACCATTGGAGTCCGGATTTCAACAACATCCGATATGGTGTAGTGGCTAACATGATGCCCTCTCATCTATGTGAGAGGTTAGGCATAGCCCCGAGTTCGATTCTCGGTTTCGGAACATTTTGCCATTTTTGATAAATGACCCGCCATCGTCGCATCCATTTTTGAATATACTTACTTTTTTATCCATGCTCGCAGTATGTTAATGTTAGCGCCCTATTCCCTCTCAAGGCTAGCTAGGTAAGGTAGTAAGTAGTAAGCATGCATATATTCGGACGACCTTGACAGCACTTTCCTCCTTCCCATCTTCCCTCAGTGACGACGTTTATATGTCGGCAATGTTATGGTACAAGGCGCATAATAAATGACAACCTCATTCATCACACGGACGTCAAGAAAAGGTGCCTAGCGAGCACAGGCAATGAAATCCGTCATAAAACTCATTGCAATGCAAAGACATCCGGGATCCAGAAAGCGAGTGTGAACCGAACCGCCCTTCCCCGACTCCAGCCTCGTCCCGTCGCTGCAGGGCAACCAACGGATGCGCGCGCATGCAAGTCTCAGAAAATCTCGACCCAGAGACGCATGTGGCCCTCTACCCGAGAACCAAAGTCTCGTTTCAAGCAGGAAGGGGGGATCAATCATGAATAAGCAACAAGTGAGACCCTCATGTCGCTGTCAAATGAAGGCGATGAGACATATGTCTCTCTATCCGTACCACATTGCCGAACCTCGTAGTCTGCCAGGTCCTCACGGACCAGCTCATTAACAGTTCCCGGCCGTAAGGCAGATTGACTAACTTGTATATTGCGAAGAAGGAGAGAAACCGAGTGGGAAAACATTGAAACAATTAAACGAAACCCACCGCGAGAGATGAGGCCCGAGGGAAACGCTGAGAGAATCTTGGCAATCGATGGAATAAAGAAGCACTGTCCGGCTGAAGCGGGGAGGATCGACGTCGCAGTCAAAAAATAGATTTCTTTTCGTCTCCTCGGGAGAATACCACATTGCCATCTCTCTTGAGTGATCGAAAGAAGTGATATCCATCGACCTATTCACGTGCTATTCAGAGACACTTCGTCGGAAGCTTCTCGAGTGCCCCGCCTGCAAGGGGAACTCTGCAAGGGATACGGACTTTCTAGTTCTACACTACGGATACCAGACTACTTTTGGAATACCACAGTGCCACAGTAATACAGTCTCTTGGCGTCTGGATTCTGGACAGACATGGTGACTTTGACAGGCAAGAAGACGGGGCCGAAGATGGCCCGGCGGCGCCTGAGCAAAGATGTGTCGGCATGCCGTTCATGTTCGAAACTTTGAGACTTGTAGTGGGCAGGCCGCCCCCCACCATCCATCTTCAAAAGATTGTGCCTTATCATGAGGTAGTAGGATCAGCAAGCGATCTTCGTGTTGTTTGCTTCGTCTTCCAAAGGTCCGAAGGGATGTTTTGTTCACCCAATGAGACGTGCGAGAAACCCCGCATACCAAGACCGATGCTCGACAGCAGCAGCTGTGCGATGCTTTGTTGCCCAGTAGGTTCATGGCACGTTGGGTGATGGAGGTTGCATCGTGACACCTTCCGTGGAAAGCAGAAGGCATATGACTTGAACAAACAATAGACCCCCCCTCTCTCCTCCCCTACAAATCGCCACAAGAAAGCAAAGGAAGCCTTTTTACCCATGCTGCTCAGCTCATCGTCAATCCACGCGTGTCTTTCAAAGGGAATAAATGTGTTCATCGCTTGCAGGTAAGGGAGAGGGTGAAGAGAGTGAGTGGCTGTCGACCGTCGAGTCTCGACATTGTATCGCACACACCAAGCCTGCAGACTAAGCCCATTGAGGACACCCGCATGCCGCTCTCAATATCCGCCACATCCCCCCGTGCCTCCCCCGACCCAGAAACCGCATGTGCCGAGGCGTGGATGCTATTATCATCCAGAGAGACGAGTAGGAGCCCGAGTAAAAGCAAGAGGTCTTAGACATGCAGACGTCCAGTTCCAGTCAACCCAGTGATCACCTGTCATTATCTTGCCTTGCCTTGCCTTGCCTTGCTTTGGGGGAAAGGGGTGGGTGGATTGCTTCGCGGGCGCTTGTCTGGACTTGCATATTCGTACATCATGTACAAAAACAGGTCTCAGAGTTGCAGCAGAAGAGCTGCATAAAAAGGGAACGACAAAAAAAAAAAGGATGCAACCAGCAACTTTGGTAGACTTGCAGAATATGCCATGTGCCTTTATCTTATGCATGTCTTATCTCTCTCTCTCGCGCGTCCCGAACGATACAGCACGCGTCGTCCGCAGTCCGCGCAGAACCATCTACCTGGCGGCCCGACCATGCCAAAACCCCCCCACCTTCTCCCCCCCTATCCGCCGTTGATCGCAAAGACGGCAGCTTTCACTCTTCGCCTCCGTCTCTGGGCGCGTTCCGAGTCTCCAGTCTTCTATGGAATAAACATCGTCAATCTGTCAATCGATCGGGTCATCCAGAGAATTGGTTTCGCTGGTACTTTAATGGCTTAAACAAACCACCCAAAAACAACGAAAGGCACTCTCTGGTACATATGGGTTGCTCAGTTTCTCTTCAGATTCCCTTTTTTTTTTTTTTTTTTTTTTTTTTTTTTTTTTTTTTGACCATTTTTTCCCCCCTCTACCCACCGCTTTCTCTTTTCTCTTTGGCGCCCCCCCTCCCCCCCCCCCCCCCCCCCTCTCCCCTTCCCCCCCCCCCCCCCCCCCCCCCCCCCCCCCCTCGTTCCACACCTCCAACGGCCGATCCCTTCGTATCGAACGGCAGAAAAACCCCAGTGGTACCTACCTAGTGTACCTACCCTCCAGACCACACTGTGCGCGCGCCAATGTCTAACACGGAATACTCATTCCCACAAAATGGCCCATTGACATCAAGGTTGCATAAATTCGCGGTACCCCCCTATCTATTCGAGGAGCCGTGAACTAAGCACTAAGGTCAGGTACAACTCTCTTCTAGTGTTCTAAGCAACTGGGGCTAAAACGGGGTTCGGTCCGTATTGTTTTTCCCCTCCCTTTTTTCCCCAAGTGCAGGGTACCGGTGCTGTAGCCGCGAAGACGGTGGACCAACTAAGACTAAGGAGGCGGTTTCCTGGACTCCGACTCGTCCGACCTGACCGATACTTACCTAGATCGATGAAATCACCCCCCCTCCCCCCTTCTCACCCCCTATTGTCTGTCACGCGCCCTTTGTTCCTTTCCCTATCCCCGTTGTACGGAATAGAGAAAGTAAATTTTCCTTTGTTGTCTTTTTTCACTGGAGACCTCTCAGGTACCCGACGGCTGTGCCGAGTCCTGGAGAGGTCTCCACGTTTTACACTTAAGGATAGTTTTTAGGATACCCGATAAGCTAGGTACCCAAATTTTTTCTTTCTTTCGTCCTCGTCCCTCAGATGGTGGCTGTGCAAGTTGGGATGGGAAAGCTTGGCTCCATTAATCTACGGAGGACGCCGATCGAGACCGACTGACCGATTGTTCGGTGCCGAGGACAAACGCGAAGTGGGAGAAGGAGAAGTAAATGAGGAAGAGGAAAAAATTTAAATAAACAATGATGGGGGGGGGGGGGTTGTGTGGGCATTGTAATTGCTTGTTCACCTGTCCATGCAGATTTCATATCGAATGGCACGACACGCTTTTGTACTCGGCTGTTTTCGGGCTCCGTTTTATACGTGATGTGAGCCGGCGCTGTCCGTGTCTCGATTTGGAACAGCCCTGGAGGGGTGGTACTACGTAGGCAGGGGTAAGTAGACAATTGGAAACCCTGACCCAAACGCCGCTATCGTGAGGCTTCTCGGGCGGGATGTGCTAGATACTCCGGCGAGAAATAAAAACAGTTCTATGATTTTATCCTCTCACATAGGTGAAGCACATACGCTGTTGAAGATGTTACAAAACTCACAGTAGCTCCAGTTGGTATTATGACTATTTTATTTCCAAAGAGTCGGCTGGTATCATTATGAACAGGCAAGCAAACACACAAAACAAGTACAATGTAAAGAAGCGAATGCAGGAGTGAAGGACATTATTCACCAGACCACGTGAGAGCTTCGATGAACCGTGGGGCCCGGGGGAAAAGGATAATTACACACATCCTAACATAGTGATGAGAGATGATGATAGTCTGCGTCATGAAAGCCGCCATTGAATTATCCAAACTCGGCTTTGCGAAAACTCGACCGTGGCCAGAAGAAAACATGCATCTGGCTCGCAGTATATCCCACCACTGTCGTGCCCTCTTTTTTCTTCTGTTTTCTTGGTTTTTTTTTTGTCTCTCCCTTTTCTTCTTTTTTTTTCCTTGCTCAATGTCTCTCATCTACAACCGAGCAGTGGTTGCCTTATGCGAGGAGCGCAAAAGAGACGGCCATGACGGAAGCCAGGACCAGGGTGATACTGCTGCCGATGAAGCCAGCGGCGCTCTTGCTCTTGCCACCCTTGGTGCCGGCCCCGGTAGTGCCGTTGGGGCAGATCTTGGTGGTGTCAATCGAGGACGCAAGGACAACAGCTCTGGGCTGGCCCTTCTCCATGTACAGGGTGACGTTGCCGGTGCCGTCGGCGGTGCTGGTGCCGCAGGTGGTGACCTCGATGACAGCATCGCCCGGGTTGAAGCCGCCGACGCTAAGCTGGTAGGTATCGCCCTTGGAGCTCTTGTTGGTGATGCAAAAGACGACCTGTGCGCCGTCGGGGCCCTTGCGCAGGCACAGGTGGGTGTTCTCGACAAAGAGCTGCTGAGAGGCCGTGGTAGCGAAGGCTTTGTTGGTGGCCTGGAGGGCATTGCGAGTCTTGAGGAGGGTGGAGGTGAGCTGGTAAATGGGCGCCGTGGTGTCGTACTTTGATTGCCAGAGGGGCTCACGGTTGAAGGGGGTCCCGTTGCCGTTGAAGTGCTGCTCCTGTCCCTGGTAGACGGTAGGGATACCGTCGGTCAAGAGAATGTAAGCCATGGCGTTCTTGGCGAGCTCAATGTCCTCGTCGTAGACAGCGAAACGGGGCATGTCGTGGTTCTCGACAAAGGATCCGAGGGCGAAGATGTCGGTGCAGCCATCGCGGAGCTGGTTACGCCAGTCGGCGAGCTCGTTCATGTCACCACCGAAGAAGACCTTATTGAGGGGGTAGTACTCGACGTAGTTGGGCATGCCAGGCAACAGGTTCAGGGTCTGGTAGCGGCAGAAATCGGCGGGGGCTCCGGTCAGGACCTCACCAAAGGCGAAGACGCCAGAGGCGTTGACAAAGGTAGGCAGGAAGGCATCGTTGACGTGCTTGGCAGCATCGATACGGAGGCCATCAATGGAGTAGTTGGAGACGAGTTCCTTGATCCACTTGCCAAACTCGGCGACGACGTTAGGCTTCTCAGTGGCCAAATCGGCAAGGGCAACACCGTAAGGGTAGAGCCAGCAGTCCTGGTAGTTGGTGCTGTTGTCCCATTCGGTTACGTTGCAGTAGGGATGGTAGTCATCCGCTTCGTTGAAGGGGTTGAACTTGGAGTAGTCGAGCTTGGGCGGCAGGCTGTCGAGCTTCTGGACCATGTTGTTGACGACAACATCGACCATGAGGTACATGCCGCGGCTGTGTATCGCCTTGACCAGGTTGTCGAAGTCATCCTTGGTGCCAAAATGGTCGTTGAGGGCGTAGTTGTCGAGGGACCAGTAGCCGTGGTAGGCCTCACCGACGGCGGTGTCGTCATTCATGTTCTTGACGATGGGGCTGATCTGAATGGCAGTGAAGCCCATGCCTGGTGGTTGCAGTTAGTTGTGATGTGAGGCTCTGGGTCTCTGGGCGAGAGCCTGTGATGCCTCATCTACAGCAGCTACTAACCTTGAATGTAGTCGAGCTTGTTGGTCAAGCCGGCCCATGTGCCTTCGCAGAACTTGTAGAGTTCACACTCGTGATCGGTCGAACCGTCGGCATGGGCGTAACGGTCGATCATGACCTGGTAAATGGCTCGTTCCTTCCATGCCTCGAGGCCGGCAGCCTCGACGAGAGTAGAGAGGGCCGTGACGGCGGCCCACGCAAGCGTTGAGACACGCATGGTGATTGTTGTGATGATGAAGTCTGTAGGTTGTGTTTGAACGAACGACTACGCCGCGTATGGGCGTTGAATTAACGATTGTCTTTGCGCTTGGGTACGAGCGTGATGAAAGGAATGAATAAGGTCGAAGAGGATTGTGGCGCGCACACAACGATATAGACGTTTGGGATGGTAGAGGGACGAGACCGATGGACGAATGGACGGGGAACCCTTCAATGGATTGGCAACGAGTGACTGGCTCCAGGAGCTTGGAAGTGAGAAAAAGGGGTGGGAAGCCCGGGTAGATTAGACGAGTGACCAGAAGAGGACGTGGAGTCGGTTGATCGGTTGAAAGTAAAAGAAGAGGGGCCAAGCGCGTCAAAACGAGACTGACGCTTTTAACACGGAGAGGAGATCAGCAGAGGGCAAACGAGAGGGTGGTGGACTGAATACGGGGAACGCGTACCAGGCGAACTCTTTGGCAGTACTGTGTACGGCGCAACCGCACAGAGAGAGTACTCAGTATTGTACTTCGTACCTACTCACCGCAGAGGAGGGTCCGGAAGTACGGACGAACCAATGCAAGGTACGCGAGGCAGACAGCGCGGAGAAGCAGACAAATATACGAGGGTCACGGAACAACAGGCCGAGGGACGGATGGGCTTGGGGACGGGCTTGGAGGAAATGATGGCTCCTGGCAACTTTGCCGTACTTGGCCACCAATGTTAATGCCTCGGATCGAATGGGACGGCGAGGCCCACACGGGGGGCGCAAGTGTGTCATTGACCATGACCAACAACAGCTGGTTGACGGGAAATTGAACCCAAGCAGAGAAAAAAAGAGAGAGACCACGGGGATACGATGGTCGGTACGGCGGCCAAGCCGGGGTGTGTGGAGGTGCGCCGCGCTACAAGGAAATAGTGACGGGGAGGAAACCCGAGCGTTGAGGGAGGGAAGCAGCCTGGAGGAGAGCGGAGGAACAGGAGACTGCAGAAGCGACTGATGAGGTGGAAACCCGGCCAAGACGCGGATGGTCAGTTCGGTATCGTACGAAGTCGCGTACTCAGCACCCTAGCAGCGGCATGCAATGGGACGAGGAAAGCAGAAACTGCGTATCGAGTGAGGGAGGCCTGAATAAAGCCAAAGCTGTGGTCAAGGTGATCGACACAGAATACGGAGTATCCGTACCAGACTTTGCAAAGGGCAAAAAAGGACCACAGAGTTGTGCCAGTGTGGTGAGAGAAAGGCGTAGGTAGTCAGTAGCGGAAGTGTCGTTGGTCGTTACGTTGTGATGGTGTGCGGTCAAAGTGGTGTGGTGGAAACGGCTGGTGGGAAACTGCCGCCGACGGTGCGCCAAAACGGACGGTGTTGTGATGAGTGTGTGGTGCTCGGCCAATGGGAAAAAAGCATTTGGGGTTCGGATATCCGTACTGTGAAGGTACGGTACGAATAGAGATGAGAGAGGTGAAGGATGAGTTTGGTACAAGGTCAAGCCTGTCAGTCCTGTGTTATTTTGGACAGCAACCAATACAGACACAGAAAGGTACGTATCCGTCCATAGCAGTCTGGAAAAACCTCGTTTCCCCTGCCAAGAAACGCCAGGGCTGCGCCGTCAACGCCGTCAACGGTGCGGCCTTGGAAAGATGTGAGAACTTTTTGGAATGGGTTATCCCGATAAGGAGTGGTGGCACCACGACAGGGGACGTCACGTCGGCAGTGGCATTGGCCGCATTGGATGGCACTGAGTGGCACTGGGCACTGAGGACAGCATCGATAGCGCGCATCGTCCTGTTGACGGGTTGACGGTTGGCGCTGGTCACTTTGGTAACTTTGGTACAAGGACGCGGCGGCGGTGCAAACCACCGAAATTGGCCCCTCGCGACGAGCGAACCTGAATCAAAAGTGGTCGAACCTGGAAAAGGTACAGAAATGTTCTTGGTGTCTTCTTGGCAGCGGCGGGAGGCTTGATGTCATTGGACCGCGTTGCGTAGTGTTTGCCTGTCTGCGCCGCAGGTTCTCTTCATCCGTCGAGTCTTGATGAGACGACATTTGATGGCTTTGGGGCTCGAACCAGTTGCCAGCCGAGACTCGAGAAAAGTGCGAGAAACAAATTCTGCCAGGGAGTCCATAGCGTGTCCTGCAGGTGGACGAGCGTTGGCTTTTGTTGAGACAGATGATCAGAAGCCCGAGGTCAATTTGGAGAAGGGCGAATAGTGTCTTCGTGTTGCCGACTTGTGGTTGGTGCGTGTGCCAAGTCTGGGCGCCACCACTATCGCTGTGCGTCGAGGTTATCAACCACCATTGGACGGCCGTGTGAATACCTACATAGTAAGCAGTCCAGAATTGGACGCGACGCGACTCCCACCGTCCTGTCCCACAACCATCCCAACACCATGAATTCTGGCTTTCCCAGGAGGTGGTGTACTGAACGGACTCACTCAAACTCTATAGAATCTTTGGAGGCAGGCAGCCCCTCGCCGTGTAATAAATACATACATTGTAGTACGGATACGCGGGTTTCAAGACGGCTTCCGCTTGATGGGCCCCATGTACGAATATCCTCATGAGCCCTGAATCGAGTTTCTCGTCGACTCCTGGAAACCGGAAGAAGCTGAAGGGTATGGGACCCCCCGGAACTCTCCAGACACCACCATCAATCGGTCACTACCATAGGTAGTACATAGTTTGAATGATGAGACACAGAGTGACAGGTCAGGGCAGGGCCGCGAGGCCAAAAAAGAGCCAGAGGCCTAACGCCACCAAGAAAAGGAGCTCGCGTGGCCCTGGCTTACTCAGCTCGGCGAGGCTTCTGGTTTAGGCGAACATGACCCTTCCACGTTCCCGCTTCCAACTTGCCCCTGCACGGACTCCTCTCTTCTTCATATCCCATAATCCTACCGATATTCACACCTGATTATTGTCCCTATTTGTGGCAGTCCCCCCTCCATCCTCAGTTTGCCCCAAACATGTTGATTTCGGCAACTCGCAGCAACGAAAGTTGACATCAACCCTACCTATTCCCCCGCGCCCAGACGATGCCCAGGCCCGCCAGTAAAGGCGTGTCACGGCCATGAGTCCATGAAAGCCTGTTTCTCGACGCTGACTCGCTTGTCTGCACCGACCGCTCTTGTGCGATACGGCCGATCGTCGAGTCGACTGCGGGCGAATGCTGCACCGCGGTAGGAGTCGTGCAAGGAGGCCCGGCCCCGGTCGGCAGCAAGTGTAGGTGCCCCTCCGACCGACCCCTGGCCCACACTACCCGATCCCAGCCCTCCCAATCGAGGCTACCCCCTCGTGCCCAAGTGGGTCATCTACTTTAGATAAACCTGGTCCTACTTGAATTATAAATGGGCCATGGTTGAGCTAGTAACAAGTGAGTGGGGTTGCGTGGGATGCACTCCCTGCCGGCCTGGCAGGTGAGACCTTGGGAGGCGCTGAAACTCACAAAGGACAGCTTCCAGCAGGAGCGAAAGAGCTTTCAAAAGGTAGCCGCCCTCTGCCTCATGTGGCTGATGCCAATTGAATAGCAGCTAAGGATTGGCCTTTACGTCGCCAAGTGAGACCCACCGTGGCTGAGGGGTTGTCTTTGCAACGGCCATTGTTCAGATTGCCCGGGGCTTCAAGTCTTCTCCCATTCCCAGTTCAGTGACCTGACAGTCGACAGTCTCTTTCCGTTCCATTCTAGGTACCACACGGTGCCAAGACGGGGGGGGGGAGTACTTCCAAGTTCCATGTGCAGTTCCCCAGGGCCGGGACCACTCTTCGCCTAGTGTTGTTCATTTTCTTCGGCGCTGCTGCATCTAAGGTACTTCACTGAAGTACCTAACCACCCTTGTGCTGCCTTAGGTAAGCTATAGCGACGCCCAGGGACGCGACTCTCAGCGCTGCTAGCGACAGACACTAATGTGCTAGGCAGAAGATCAAGTTTGATTTGCTTTTCCTGTTCTTCCTTCTCAAATCCTTTCATGCCGCCGTGGCAGACTTGTCGCTTCCTCCTGCGTTAGCCTCCCCGCGAATCGACGTCACGATCACGATCAGACAGACGCGCCGCCCGACGTGTTCATGGCTTGGCCCAGTCCACCCACACTAAGGCACATTAGACTTCCTACACAGTACAGCACCTTAACCTTGATTGATTTGGTGACTTGTTGGACAGGAAGCAGCAACAGCCGGTCGGGCTAGCAGTAGCCACTGCGGACGGGGTGCCACACCATCGCCCTCTGAGCATAAACGTTTGTGCTACACTGCACTACCTTAGCTGAGATGAACCCCTCCGATTCCCATCTGCCAAAGACGCCCACCTCAACCTGCCGCATGCCAGGCACTTCGCACTTTGCCCACCGCCTTTGAACGGGTCCCGCCCTTGAGCCTCAACTGTTCCCGACTGGGAAATCACTGCTCTATGGGTAATCTTCGACAGCATGGATCATCCGTCCTGACAGCCTGGTTTGTCTCCAACGTCTCGTATTCTTCCTGGGGGGACCGCCCGAAGCAAAGCTGACTCGATACAAGAGAGCACGTTCTTGGACCAGGGGCCCGATTGACAGCGGATACTTGAACCGACGACGGAGCTCGCCCGAATCGACCAACAAGATGCACCACCCCGTGCCGGCTTATCCTTGGTCTTCAACACGCTACGCGCACACTGGCCAGAATGACATCCTCACCCCTACCGGCGCTGACCTCGGGGCCACCGTATTGGACAGTCTCTTTTGTGGACTTGGTCCAAACTGGTAATTCAAGACGGAGTCCGCCAATCTCCCATCTCACTCATGGTTCGCTCCCACCCAGGCCCTTGCCTGCACCCTCTGCATATCCATATTCCAAACTTCGTATAACCAGAATTAGCCCAGACTACCACCCCCGGAGCCACATTGTCATGTACCAAGAAAGAGGGGTCAGACGAACAAGAGGAGCAGGTACCTACCAAAGACCTGAACCTGCCATCCATCCTCGATTCCTCTGTTCCTTCTTCTCCAGTTTCCAGAGGTCCAACGGGAAGGGCTAACGATTCGGCTGGCCCGTTCCTGCAGAAGGGTCCCCATCCGCCCATCACGGAATCGATGTCCTGCGGCCCTGCGGCCTGCTCGCCTGCTCGCCTGCTCGCCTGCTCGCCTGCATCATCCCCATCCCTATCCCAGTTTCGCCCCAAGACCAAGACTCGCAGACTGCTAGTGCCAGACTCCATGGAGCCTTGAGAGGCGAGGCGGACGGAAAGATCCTTTCCATGGACTCTTCTACGGCGGCCCCCCCAGGCCACTCTGCCGTTGTACCATGTGCCTGTTCCCAATTCCCGTACCTGTGCTTGTTGTGCCTATGCCTTCGCCTATGCCTGTGCCTTCGCCAGTAATCCCCCTTTCCGCCTTCAGCCTGGGGCATATTGCAATTGGACTGACCCAAGCTCCCACGAGATTACCCCCTTTTCTACCGGTTCCAGCGTGGCGTTGACGGCCGAGTTTTCTTCCCATCCGTCCCGCGCCTTGGCTTGCAACTCATCCCGTCATTCGTTCTTGCTTGCTTGCTGGTCTGCTTCGCGGCCTTTCTCTCCTCCCCCCATCCCATCACCACCACCACACTCTTTCGAGCTTCACTTCGTCACTCATTCCTGTTTGTGTGTTTTTTGCTGTACAATCTTTTGCTCACTCGCCCCTCCCGGCGAGTAAGAGTTCTCACAAAATGTCTAATTCAGTATTGGCTTGGGCACTTACACTCCTTACCACATCATCCACCCTCGTTTCCGGCCTCAAGTACACCGCGAGCGAAGTCGATTACAACATTAACACCAACAGATTAGCAAAGAGTCCTGCAGAATATTCAGGAAAAAGAACTGGCCACACATTCACAAAATCACCCGACAACTGGCGGTTTCCTTACTATACGTTGTTCATCGATCGATTCGTAAATGGCGACCCCGATAACGACAATGCCAATGGCACCCTCTTCGAACATGATATCATGAGTAACCAGCTCCGCCACGGAGGAGATCTGGCTGGTCTCGTCGACACGTTGGATTACATTCAGGGCATGGGTATCAAGGCACTCTACATTGCTGGCTCGCCCTTCATCAACGACCCGTGGAAGGCGGATTCATACTCGGTACGATACACGCCTCGTAGCCCATGGTCACGAAGGCGACGCGAATACTGACATTTCGCAGCCTCTCGATCTCACCCTACTCGATAGGCACTATGGCAACATCACGGCATGGCAAGAGGCCATTGACGAAATTCACCGCAGAGGAATGTACGTGGTCATGGACCAAACAATGGCGACGTAAGTATCCGATTGGCTCGCTGGGGCTTTTTATCTGTTTCTCACTTCCTGTAGCATGGGCGACTTGATCGGTTTCGAAGGATACCTCAACTCGTCCACTCCGTTCTCGACCTCGGAGCACAAGGCTGAGTGGAAGACTTCGAGACGATACCTCGACTTCAACATCGGTAACAAATACAACGAAACCTGCCAGTACCCGACTTTCTGGTTTGAGGACGGAAAGAAGGTCGACGTCTCTAAGCAGTTGAAAGGCTGCTACGACAGTGACTTTGATCAGTACGGCGACATTGAGGCTTTTGGTGTTTTCCCTGATTGGCAGCGTCAGTTGGCAAAGTTCGCCTCTGTGCAAGATCGTCTGCGTGAGTGGGTTCCCTCAGTTCGCCAGCGTCTTGAGCTCTTTTCCTGCATGACGATTCAAACGCTCGACATTGATGGATTCCGTATCGACAAGGCTGTCCAGGTCACCGTAGATGCGCAGGCTGAGTGGAGTACTGCCATGCGAAAGTGTGCAAAGGATCTTGGTAAGGAAA